GAATTGAAATATCATCCTGGCAAGGCTAATGTTGTAGCTGATGCACTGAGCCGTAAATCTGTGAGCATATCAAGCATGATGATTAGAGATTATGATGTGATTGAGAGGTTCAGAGATATGCAATTATCTAAAATCTTTCCATGTAAAATTTGTGGCATCGAAATCACAAGCATTGAAAATGAACTGATGACCAGAATTAAAGAAGCTCAACTGCAAAATGAAAGTGCTAAACGACTGAAAGGTCAGAGTGGTGTATCCTGCAATGATGAGGGTATACTATTATATCAGGGTCGTGTAGTTGTACTTAGGCAGTTGGCGGAAGAAGAAATGACAGAGGTCCATAAGGGTCATTTCACAGTTCATCCGGAAGCTACAAAGATGTACCAGGACCTAAAGATTAATTTCTGGTGGCCTGGTATGAAGAAAGATATTGCCGAATTTGTCTCTAAGTGTCTCATTTGTCAGAAGGTCAAGATTGAGCATCAAAAGCCTTCTGGCATGTTGCAACCTCTGGATGTTCCTGAATGGAAATGGCTTTTGTTAATGATCCGGACCCGAAGTTCACTTTTCGCTTCTGGGGAGCATTGCATGAGGGTTTTGGCACTCAGTTGAGACTGAGCACTGCTTATCACCCACAGACGGATGGTCAGACTGAGAGGACCATTCAGACGTTGGAGGATATGCTGAGGGCTTGCACCCTGGAGCAGGGTACTGCATGGGATCGATATCTCCCGCTGGTTGAGTTTTCATATAATAATAGTTTTCATGCTAGTCTGGGTATGGCTCCCTACGAGGCCTTGTATGGTCGCAGGTGTAGGACACCTACTTGTTGGTTAGAGGTTGGAGACACAGAGCGGTTTGGATTGGATTTTGTTCAGGAGACTACTGAGCAAATCAAAATGATTAGGGATCGTCTGAAAAAGGCTCAGGATCGTCAGAAAATTTACTATGATCTCAAGCATCGACCTCTAGAGTTTGAGGAGGGAGATCATGTATTCCTGAAGCTGTCACCGGTTACGGGTGTTGGACGAGCCCTGGGAGTGAGGAAGCTGAGTCCAAGATTTATTAGACCCTACCAGATTCTTCGTAGGGTGGGACCGGTTGCCTACCAGCTTGCCTTACCTCCGCAATTAGCAAATTTGCATGATGTGTTTCATGTTTCTCAGCTGAGGAGATATGTAGTTGATCCTTCTCATGTGGTTCAACCTGATAATGTTGAGATCCGGGAGAATTTGAAGACTCCTGTTGGGCCGCTGAAGATACTCGAAAGAGATGAGAAGAGGCTGAGAAATAAATCTATTCCTATGGTGAAAGTCCAGTGGGAAGGAAGGACACCTGAAGAGTCCACTTGGGAGCGGGAAGATGAGCTTCTCCGGCAATATCCTGAGTTTAAGGACAGGTATGTTCTTGATTTTGCGGATAAAATCGTTAAAAGGTGGGGTGACTATAATAGCCCTAACCTAATTAATTAGCAAATTACATGTAATTAAATAATTAAGCATGTTTTAGTGAGTAAAATTAAGTATAAGGCTTAATTAAATGAATCTGAGTCACTTTGAAGTTAAAAAGTGTACTCAGTGAAAATTAAGGGGTATAAATGGGTGTAGGCAAAAGTACCCAAAATATAAAAATAAAAGTGGAAATATTCCTAAAATAATATTCCAGACTTTTGGGTGAAGTTTGGTAATTATTGGAGTTAAATAGATAGACGAACCAATACCCGCTTAAAGTCACTTAACCTATGATAAGTGACTAAAACACAAAAAAGAACCCCAAACCCCCCATTTTCCCGTCGACAGAAACAGAAGCAAGGAAGAAGAAGGAGAAGGAGGAGAAAGGGAGAGAGGAGGGAGCAAATCCCAACCAATTGGAGTGATTCAAAAGCCTAAACCACTCTAAATCTTCCCCTCTTTCATAATCTAAGCTTAGCTTTGAGTGGGGAGCATTGTGGAGAGAGATATTGCCTCTCAAAAATTCGGCCCTTTGTGAGATTTTGGGGTTTTGGGAATTTCTACCTCCATGGTAGCTTGAGGAACGCTCCTTGCTTGGTTGTGTAACCATTGGTGGTAAGATTCTACCCCTTGAACCTTATTTTCATGGAAAATTGCATGAGTTAGGGTTTATGAATAGTGTTTTAGGGTTTTTGATGAAATGTTGTTAAATTAGCTATGTTCTAGGAAGAATGGAGCTGAGAGCATGTTGTGAAAAATGCTAGGAATGTCATTTAATCGGTAAAAATGAGCCTAGTTAGTTAAATGACTATACTTGGTATATTGCAAGATTATCATGCTTGTTGAAGAGTTTTCTTGCAATTATGATCAATGGTTTGACTTGGTTGATTGATGATTGTGTCCTTGTGATGTCTAGGATTGAGACATTTGGACCAACCGTGAGTGATCAACCATTGGAGCAAGCTATGGAGCTTGATTAGCTCCATTGGATAGGTAAGTTCATGCTTATGTGTGGTATGAATTGTATAGCTTGGTTGATAGCTATGAGATGTTATTAGATGCAATATGTGTTAATTGCATTAAACCTTGTGTAGGTTTTGTTTGAGAAGTGGAGTATTGTAATTGACTGACTGTGGAACCTGTTGGTGGTGAACAAAGGTTGACTGAAGCATTGAGGTAAGCCTTCGGACCTTGGGTGTAATTCCCTTGACTGTTCCACCAAGCCCTGAAAGGGTAGAGGTTGTGATTGTGTATATAAATGCAATAAAATAGTGTAATGCTTTGTTATACGTATGTGTATGCATTTGGTGTGGCATAGGATGGTATTTCCCTATGTTGGTATGTTGCATGACGATGCGTAAATCATACTTGGTAGTTAGCTGGCCAGTAAGACTATTTGCATCTGAGTTTCCTTAGGACAGCTTGAGAGCTCGAGGGATTTCTCCTGGAGATGTTATTGCACTTTGCATAGATATGTATTTACTGCATTATTATTGTTATTGCTATTACACTGATATGGAACTGTGGGGTGGAGAGATGCTCCAAGGACCCCTGGTTTACTGGATATATTCGTATATCTCACCCCGTGTTGTGGGGACCCCCTTTCAGGTAAGGATGCTGCAGGAGCCACCAGTGGCAAGTGGCCATACTTGGACTAGTATTGATGCATGAGGATCCAGTATTTTGATATCATACATGTTGTTTTGTAGCTCACATGTATAGGATTGTAATTCATAGACAATTGATAGATGTATGATTTGTATATTGGAATGGACTTAGCCTATGCTCATGCCTTTGGTCATCTCTTTTGTTGATGGGAGCCAAGGGAATGATCATAGTGTTTTGTAAGCTAAGTTCCATAATTTGTAATGAATATGTACTGTAAATGATGCCTACTTGAAATTCAATATATGCATGCTTGTTATGTATTGAGTTATTGAATTGGTTGGGCTGAGAATTAATTAGGTACCTTTTGTTTAAATTGGGAAACGTTAAGAAAACAAAGGTTATGCTGCCCAAATTCTAGCTAAATCTCATGAGGAGAGGTTGGGTGAGTGCTAGGACTAAGTTTTGAGGCATGAACCATTGGAGTTTGGAATGGGGATGCATCTTCCCCTAGACTTGGACTTAAAAAATGAGGGTAATGGAATTCCCTGGCAGCGCGCTTTAGCGCACTGGAGCGCACTTTAGCGCCCTGCTGCCCCTGTGAGAGCCAATGCTTTTGGCCTCCTCGCGTTGGAGCGCCCAGAAGTGGGGGCTTAAGCGCCTAGGGTCGAGCGCTTGAGCGCCCTCAGCCGCTGAAGGAGGAGATGTTTCTGCCTCTGCGCGCTAAAACGTCCCAAATGGGGGCTTAAGCGCCTAGGATAGCGCGCTTGAGCGCCCTGGTGAGCGCTTAAGCGCCCATTTACACTAAAGGACCTGATGCTTCCTGCCTCCGTGCGCTTAAGCGCCCAGATGGAGGCTTTAGCGCCCGATAACGTGCGCTTGAGCGCCCGGTAGCGCGCTGAAGCGCGCGGGGCCTGTGATCAACACCCTCTTGTGTTGCTTCCAATTGTCATAACTTGGGCTACAGTGCTCTGGTTTGAGCGCGGTTTGAAGCCACGCGTAGCCAACAAAGAAATCTACAATATAGAAGTTGTGAAATAAATAAGAAGTAAATTAATGGTTTAAAAATGGAATAAGAACATGATGTTAAGCTTGATTTATCTGATTCCGCAAGGTAATTTGGTTATGATCACGAAATTGGGTATTATAAATTCGGCATGTTTTAAAATGAAAAATTTATCCGGATTTTAATTGAACCTATGTGATTGTAACTGCGCTTAATATCATAATGCGATGTTAACAAACCGGTGCTACAGCGGGGTGTTACATAGAGGCTAAGTACTGTTGTGGGCTTCTGATTTATTGTAATTTTTCCTTTTCTTAGTAATTTGGGCTTGAGCCTATGAATAGCTGTTGTTAGGGTTTTCTAATCCTATTTATATTTTTTTTGTAAACCGAGTGATTTGTAACGAGTGGCAGTGAGGTGAATATAGTACAGACAAACTGGACGTAGCCTATTTTGGGTGAATCAGAGTAAATCATTGTGTCTATTCTCTCTCTCTTTCTCTTTTTGTTTGCAATTTGTGTTATTGTCAATTTTCAACACATATATATGTACATGACAGGTATATTTATGTGGAGAGAGAAAGGATGTTCCAAATTAACAATAAAAGGGTAAAAAAATGATCACCTCAGGAATGAGAGCAGTGCCAAAGCGTGCAGTACGGGTAGGATAAACACAGTCATACATGTCAGCACCCAAAGCACTACAGACAACAATATCAAGTGGATAACCAACTCCCTGAAAGAAGTGCAGGCAAATGTCACCATATTACATTGAAATAATTTCTAAAAATTGGTTGCGATAATGAAAGTCTTTCTGACCATGACATATCGTGGTTTATCCTCAGGCAAAGCAGCAGTGCACTGAGCAACAACTCGCCAAAATGAATTTTTATCTTCACCGCCTGAAAGACCACCAATAGCATAGCTGTGACAAAAGAAAATTATATTTTACGCCATATCACTACTGAGAAACTACTAATTTCAAGGCTCCTTCATGCCTGAGGTGTATATTCATATAGGTTGATACAAAGGCAACTTATATTTCGAAGTCTATATGAAAAGTTGTATTATTTGCTGGGGAAAAACCATATGCAGGTAAAAATATCCAAACATGATCGTATGGGAAATTCATGCTTCCCATTGCAGATTGTGATGGATAGTTTATTTTGTTCATTCTAATTTGCATAAATTCACAAAAGAGAACCTTTATATGTGCATATCTTATATACTTCTCATTTTAATATATAGAACAAAGGCTTCAATATGTATTTTTATTCCAGGCATCGATGAATATTAATAAATGTGCTATAAAACAACAACCAAGGTCTTGTGTTCCTAAATGTGGGATACAACAATTACCATAGTCTTTTCCCAGTACGTAGGGTCAGCTACATGGATCAAACAATCACATTGTGTTCTATCAAAATCCAATTCTTCAAAGAGACCATTTAGATCTAAATCATTTTTAATGGTTTCTCTTGAGTTTTTTTTTGTCTTCCTCTACGTCTAATTATTGGGCTATCCCTTATTTGATCAACTCTTCTAACTGGGGCTTATATTGATGTAAAGAACCAATTCAACCCAAAAGCTTAAGCTATTGGGTGAGGCTACATTAATGGTTTTATATATCTCAACACGCCCCCTCACAAGAGAGCCCACTGGGCTTGAAAGGTGGACAATGCACAGGCCCACCTACCTGTGCGAAGAAAGAAATTTCACTAGAAAGAAAGTTGGAGGCGGTAAGAATCGAACCCGATACATCGAGGCTCTGATACCATGTAAAGAACCAATTCAACCCAAAAGCTTAAGCTATTGGGTGAGGTTACATTAATGGTTTTATATATCTCAACAATTGATCTTCTAACATGTACAAACCATCAAATTTCAGATAGATGAAAATAATTTTAATCACATGAAGATCATAAAAAGAATTATTTTTATTCTCCGCCTAGACCAAACCATAAATCACTGGACACTATCTGCCCAGCCCAATGTATTAAAAACCAGATCAGTCATCAAACCAGTAAGGCCCCCAATTCAGGGTCCTCTAAAATAAATTGAAAATATGGAAAACAGATCATAGACAACCAACCAATTAAATACATTTAACAAAGTGAAATTACTTTTAAGCTTATTAACTTAGTCTTTAAAGAGGAAATAGAGACATTGCATAAATGGTTTCTGAATAATTTGATCAAGTCCAGTTCTGGAGGGTGATTGTACCAACAGCCAAGCTGGCCAGTACAGTCTAGTCTAGTTCTTAGCGCACATAACAGAAATACAAAAAACGTTGGAAAAACCATAAATAGTTTTTATGCTGACATGAATTTACACCTACCCAGGCAAATTGCGCTCCACCATACCCTTGACACAGATATCCCTGATTACAAAATATCATAACTTATAAGCAATATACAACATCCGCATTGGCAAAACAGTAACTAGGAAAATAAATATTGACACAACAAGAAGGTTATGCTTTTTGCCCGAATTCACCTCAATACAGGGTCTAAGCCACCTTGCACAATACCAAACAAGTTCTGATCATGAGGTCTCCCGTGAGCTGTTGACACATAGCAATGTGCATTAATATTCAGCATGCAAAAACATTATAGTTGGCAGAGCTAAAAATTATCCTTGTAGGATTAAAAAATATGGCATTTCAATTTTATTTAGAAATCCATGCTAAAACTAATATCAAACTTCTACAGATGTACAATGCTTGACATCACTGCATAATTTTATATTTGCTAAGAGAAAAACACAATACACCACCCACACAAGGGACTTTTAGGGCATGTTTGGTGCATAGTATAGGATAAGGTCTGCTAGTATAAGACCTGATAGTATAAGGCCTGATTGTATAAGACCTGATTGAATTTTAATACTATCCAGCGTTTGGCACGATATTATATAAAATAATATATTGTATAAGATAATATCATCTAGTATTTGGTAATGCACTGTATAATACTATATATGATAAAAATAAATATTTTTAATAAAAATATCCTTTAATAAAGAATTTATATAATTCTTCAAAAAATGTCATATAATATTAATTTTTATAAAAATTTATTGATCAATGTGTCCAAAATATAAATTAATTTTTATAAAAATAAAAATAAAAATATCTTAAAAATTAATATATTGAAAAATTAATTTTTATTTTAATAGATTAATATTAAAATATATATTAATTTTTGAGAATTACATTGGTCAACGATGTTAATACATCAATCTCTTATCAGGCCTTATCCCTCACCCTTAGGCCGGATTAAGTTATACATCGTTTTGATGTATTAAGGGATTATGCTGTATAAGCTTATACTATACGATGGTCATACCAAACAACTGAAAATGTCATAACGTATAGTATAAGCTTATACTATCATGCCTTATACGTCACACCAAACAGGCCCTTAAACAAAGAGGTACATATGTTAAGTAAATTTCCAATCACTTCTCCATACTCTCAATACAAAGCCCTCACAGCGAAAAAGAAACTATTTCTCAGTGTTTGACTTATTGACTTTCAACCTTACTTTTCTCTTACAAAGTATTGAATGTGCTAGCGATTGGCTAAAAGAACTCTAGAATGGTCAACTACAAAAAACTTCCCCTTCCATTGCCCTTTTAAGTTCTCTCTTCTTAAAAAAAAAAGAAAAGAATAAAGAACAGACATGTTTACTAATTAATATTAGGGAAGAAAATACATTACTACAAGAAGGCTAGGTTTTTCATGAGGAGAAAATAACTGTCCACTTAACAAGTGTTATAAAACTCAATAGCCACTATAAAAGAAATGAAAAACAAAAAATTCAGATGTCTGATCCATGTCAAAGATGTGGATATATAGTTCTTGACATTATAATTTATTGGATCCGGCTTTGCAAAGGGTATTACAGTGATTTTCAGGCCAAAGAAAAAAGGATTCACTGATATAGTTTAATGGTTGCTTTCAGGTTATTTTGATGAATGCAGAAGTCGGGAATCTAAAAAGATTTTGAGTTTCTCTCATGTTTCTTAATAAGGGAATACAAAATTGAAAGTCCAAGTAATATTTTTTTCTTTTGAAAAAAGGAACTAGGTCTAGATTGAATCACAAGTCGGCACTATTAAAGAAATTTCTGAAAATATGTTGGCACTATTAAGGAACTAGATCTAGATTGAATCACAGCAGTAAGACCTGCAATGCTATATGGAGCTGAATGTTGGCCAGCTCATAGGCAACATGAGCATAAAATGGGAGTAACAGAGATGAGAATGTTAAGGTGGATGTGTGGTTATACGATAATGGATAAGATGAGAAATGAAGATATTCGACGAAAGGTAGGAGTACTACCGGTGGCTGAAAAGATGAGAGAACATAGACTGAGGTGGTTTGGGCACGTAATGAGAAGGCCCTTGGATGCTCCTGTAAGAATAAAAGTTTGTTACCGAGAACTCAACACAAAGAAAGGTAGAGGTAGACCGAAACTTACTTGGGGGAAGGTAGTAAAGCAAGACTTAATGGATTGGGATATAGATTGGCGGATGGTGTGCCTTAGAACGAAATGGAGAAAATCTATTTGCGTGGTGGAGGGTTAGACCCGTTGTTATTTCTATGTTCCAGACAGTCCCTTTTTAGTCCTTTTTCCTCTTCATCTCCCCCCCTTTTCCCCCTTCTTTTATCACTTTTATATATATATATATATATATATATATATATATATATATATATATATATATATAGGGTTTGGTGTTTGTCAATTTAAATGACATAAGTTATGTCATTTTAAGAAAGAGATAGAGACAAAAAATGGAAATCATGGGAGAGAGAAAGTGGTTGATTTTTTTTTAATTTAAATTTTTTTAAAAAAAATTATTTTGTGTCTATCTCTCTCTTAAAATGACATAACTTTATGTCATTTAAAATGACAAACACGTTTTCCATATATATATATATTATTACTATTTTTTTTATTTTTTTATTTTTTTATCTTTTTTCAACCCTTTCGTATCTTTTATTTGGGTTCATCTACCACAGACCCCAATTAATTTGGGATAAAGGTGTTGTTATGTTGGCAAAACGAAATAAGTAGTCTCTTTCCAACATGTATCTGCAATAAATTTATTAAATAATAAGATAAGAGACAAAAGGGGGACAATGTCTACAGGTTATTTTCTTAAGCACAGTGTGTCAGACTCATTCAAGATCTGTTGCTGTGATCTATCTACATTCTTCAAATTCCTACCAGCTGATTTTTCTTTTGGCAAGCATCCTTACTCAGATATGACCCAAGCCCTAAGACATAGAATTCTTAATTCCCAACTTCACTCTAAAGTTAAGCCAAGTCTTTTTTAAAAAAAAAAAGGAAGAAATTCATTAAGAAAAATAGATGAGTGCAAAGAAATTGGAGGATAACAGAACAAACAAAAGCAACAATGAAGCAAAGCTACCCACTCCCTTATCACGTGTAAGGGAAACCCCTCAAAAAAGACCATGAGCTTTACACTTTGGTGCAGATGCCAAGTCTTCTAGATAACCAAAATATGCTAATTTTTGTGAACAGTGTGAATTGGTTGTGGCTGCTAACCTACAGGCTACGAGAAAGGGATACCCCAGTTGAGATAGTTTCGCTGATGCAACAATTTCTCCAGTATCCAGAATCAATCAGTTATTCACACAGTTGAATATTCACAGCTGCCTAAAAGTGATTTACATTCATTGAACATCAACACATACTAGAATGCTATTCTTCACTAACATATTTACCTGCTATACATCTGTCTATCCATCTAAGTGTTCGATACATAGCTTCCTCAACTCTTGGACCAGTAATGGTCGTCTTTACAACATCATCAAGAGCCATAATGATATCTGCTCCAATTCTATTCTGCACAATTTATGACAAAAATATGAACGCATGTGACTTTGGAGTGCATTTATTCTTTCAAAATGGTTATTAAAAAGAAAAACTGTGACAATGAATATCTAAACCAAACTCAAATTTTCATTAAATTTTGTTGCTGTTTGCTAGCTTTAAGATCTGGCAGTGAAGCAGCACATGAATTTTTTTTTGTGTGGCATAAAGCAGCCATATGTTACAAGTGTCAATTGAGGGCTCTTTATCTAGGGCTCAGAACCTAATGGTCTATTTAAATGATATTTGGAGCCCATTTGTTTGGCCTTTTAAAAAAAGCAGTTTTTATGTCTTACTTATTTTAGAAGTGTTTTTTACAAAAGTTACAACTTACAACTATTTAGATTTTTTTTTTAAATATTGAGCTTTTTGAAAAAAATATTTGGCTTTTGACATTTGCTTTTTTTAGAAGCAAAAATTTTTAGCTTCCAAAAACAACAGGTTTTTGGCTTTTTTTTGACTTATACTTTTTTTTAAAGCACACATCCAAACAAACTTACAGTGAGAACCACTTTTTTTTTTGAAAAAAAGCAGCTTTTGGAGAAAAAAAAGTTCATCCAAACAGACGCTTGGTTTCAAAAAAAATACCAAAAAAATACGAGGGAAAATTCTGAACCATGTTTGTTGTAGAAGTATTGGTTCAAGATTCATTTTAAACTTTTCGAAATTCCCAAAATTTGCAGGCAGTTAGAAAGAGGAGTCATACTGAAAGAGAATGTACATTTAAATTAAAATCATGAGGAAATCAAGGGCATAGCTATGCACCAAATGTTTCTCAGCAATCAACTTCCATATCTTCAACAAGCATCAGCTTGTGAATGTTTCTCATGTACAGAAAGACAGAAGAAAATATCTTGATTTAATATGCAAAACTGATAGTGATGAAGAACGATTAATGGTATTCCACAGCTAGTACGGAATACTACAGGCTCAGGCTGTCATGCCTTGCCACTTACAATTGTTATCTATAAACTAATGGGAGAAAGTTTCTTTGGGAAAGTGGGGGCGGTGAGGATCGAACTTGTGACCTTATAGTCACTCAAGCTCTGATAAAGAACCTTGGGATACACCACTCCAAAAGCTAGCTCTAAGGGTAGGAGTGTTCAAGGCCTCAACCAATGTGGGACTATATATCTCAACACGCCCCCTCACACGAGAGCCCATTGGGCTAGAAACGTGGATATTGCACCGGCCCAATTTTTCCAAAAGCTAGCTCTAAGGGTGGGAGTGTCCAAGGCCTTATAAACTCCACATTAGTTACACATACAACCAATGTGGGACTATATATCTCAATACGCCCCCTCACACGAGAGCCCATTGGGCTAGAAACGTGGATATTGCACAGGCCCAATTTTTGGTTTACCTTTTTGTGCTTTTATTTTAATTCCACTTTAAAGTTAGGCGGTGAGGATCGAACTTGTGACCTTATAGTCACTCAAGCTCTGATACCATTTAAAAAATCTTGGGATACACCACCCCAAAAGCTAGCTCAAAGGGTGAGAGTGCTCAAGGCCTTATAAACTCCACATTAGTTGCTTATACAACCAATGTGAGACTATATATCTCAACAGGAATCAAGAGAAGAGAAGACAAAATCAAAATCTGCAATTCAGGAAAACTGGGAAGCAAAGATGAAGGATAAGACCTACTTTTACAAGGGATAAATTCCAAATGCTGATGGAAGTTCTAAACAAAGAGCATCCCTCTCAATTTGGAAATACTGTATTGAAAATAACTAATTTAAAACAACAAATATTATTTTTTCAAAGCAAATTACACTAAGTAGACTCCCACAATTTCTTATACATTTTAAATAAAAAATATAAAAATATTAAGAAAAAGAAAGCACACAGGTAAAATTAAAAGGGAAACATGGAGAAAAATTTAATCTACTTACTTGTATTTGTATTGATTCCTCAGGTGTTAGAAGCATTGGCTTTCCATCTACTGGTGACTGAAGCAAGAGAATAAACTTTCTTGTTACAAATGACAAAAGAATGACATCATACTTCATAATCATAATTCCATAAATCTTTTCTTGATATAAATTCTTCTTTTATCCAAAAAGTAAATAACTACAAACTCAATCAATTGTAAAATGACACCAATGTATACCATCTAACGCAAAATGGAAGGATTAAAAAGCACTTCAAATTTTGATATTATCATATCATGTATCAGAGTCAGACAATGAAAGCATGGCATTATAGCCCTTAGATAAATATTTTATCATAACTCAATTAGCCGTCCACTAACACAAAGCAAATGAGAAAAATCAAGAAAAATTGGAGAGAAATGAAATGAATTCATAACCACATTCAAGAATGTCCTTAATATCAAGAGCAATGTTTTAAAAATTTGTTTGACTGGAGAACCAGAGAGGATAGTGGTTCATGATTCAACTGGTCAAACTAGTGGGTCAAAATGGATGTCATAAATAAATTTGAAATAAATTAGATAAATTATAGAATATTATATGTATATTTATGTGTGTACAGAAAGTTACTGCATATACAAAGGTGATGAACATCATATATTCAATGCAAATTTTTTTCATTTTAAAATTTTCAATTTCTCAAGCTATTTTGAACAATTTTGGCCTATATAACCAGAAGTCAACATGAACCATTGGAGAAATTGACAACCAAGTCCATATTTGACCCAATTAAGCCCAATTTTCAGTTTTGCAGAGAACTAGGTAGTTTTTATTCACAAGTCAAAACTGGTCCAATTCTCCAGTTTTGGACGGTTTAACCAATTTTCACTTTTTTTGGGTGGTTGAACCGCTAAGATGGTTTTAAGGTTTGATCGAACTGGTATGCAGTCCGGTCAGCAGTCTGGATGGCACAGTGAAACCAGTTTTAAGAAGACAGATCAAGAGTGGAGCAGATCACACCTTTCAAATCTTTTCTATATCTTGAAAGTAAAAAATATACCTGAAATGTGACCCCTTTTTCTGTGATATCAGCAAGATGCAACAATGAAACCTAAAACACCAGTGAAATAAAGATTTTATTTAACAAGGATCATTATTATCAATCAATAAATGTATAATATAGGTTCACTTTTCTTCATTTTGTATGCTAATGTCATAAAACATTATACTAATTTGAAAAAGCAACACAATTTCTTCATAGTTATAAGATTCAAAGATAAACAGAACAAAAACTGGAAAAGAAGAAAAAAAAACAACTTATGTAACGCCATACACTCACATAGATATTTGACCTGTAAGAAATTAATTATCTTACACTCTCTGCTTTCCTCAATATTGTGCAATTTTCATGCAATATATTCAACATCAACATCAACAACACATTTATCCCAAATTAATTGAGGTCGGTGGTAGATGAACTCAAATGAAAGATACAAAAAGGTTGAAAAAAAGAAACATAAAAGTAAAAATAAAAATAAATAAATAGAATAGTAATAATATATATATATATATATATAAATAAAAGTAAAAAAGAAAGGGAAAAGAACAAGAGGGGGAAATGAAGGGGAAAAGGACTAAAAAGGGACCATCTGGAACATAGGAATAACAACGGGTCTAACCCTCTACCATGCTTATAGCTTTTCTCCATTCCGTTCTAAGGCATACCGTTCGCCAATCTATATCCCACTCCATTAAATCTTGTTTTATTACCTTCCCCCAAGTAAGTTTCGATCTACCTCTACCTCTTATTGTGTTGAGCTCTTGGTAACAAACTTCTGTTCTTACGGGAGCATCCAGGGGCCTTCTCATTACGTGCCCAAACCACCTCAATCTATGCTCTCTCATCTTCTCAGCCACCGGTAGTACTCCTACCTTTCGTCGAATATCTTCATTTCTTATCTTATCCATCCTCGTATAATCATACATCCACCTTAACATCCTCATCTATGCTACTCCCATTTTATGCTCATGCTGCCTATGTGCTGGCCAGCATTCAGCTCCATATAGCATTGCAGGTCTTACTGCTATTTTATAGAATTTTCCTTTTAACTTAAGGGGGATTTTGCGGTCACACAAAAACCCAGATGCATTGCGCCATTTCATCCACCCTGCTTTGATTCTATGATTTACATCCTCATCAATCTCTCCACCTTTTTGCAAAATGGAGCCCAGGTATTTAAAAGCGTCTTTCTTGGGTACCTCTTGACCACTTAGATGCACGAGATCTTGGTCTACATCTCTTACCAGAGAAAACTCACACTTCAGATAGTCAGTCTTGCTTCGACTTAATGTGAATCCTTTAGATTCCAATGTGCTTCTCCACAATTCAAGTTTTCTATTAACACCATCCTTGCTCTCATCAATAAGCACAATATCGTCTGCAAAAAGCATACACCATGGCACTTCCTCTTCAATATCTTTTGTTAGTTCATTCATAACTAAGGCAAAAAGATAAGGACTTAGAGCCGATCCTTGGTGTACACCTACCGTGATAGGAAAATAACTTGATGTTCCGTTACAAGCTTTCACACATGTAGTAGCTCCATCATACATATCCTTGATTGACTTTACATACTTTGATGGTACCTTTTTCTTCTCCAGAACCCACCATAAAACTTTCCTTGGAACCCTATCGTATGCTTTCTCAAGGTCTATGAACACCATATGTAAGTCCTTCTTCTTTTCTCGATATCTTTCCATTATTTGTCGCATCAAGAAAATGGCTTCCGTGGTACATCTTCCTGGCATAAATCCAAATTGATTTACAGAAACCTTGGTATCTCTCCTCAAGCGATGCTCAATAACCCTCTCCTACAACTTCATAGTATGGCTCATTAGCTTAATGCCTCTATACTTTGAACAATTCTGTATATCTCCCTTGTTTTTGTAGATAGGCACAATCATACTTTTCCTCCATGCATCAGGCATCTTATTAGTCTGGAGAATCTTATTGAAAAGATTGGTCAACCATTTTATTGCCACATCCCCCAGGCCTTTCCACACTTCAATAGGGACACCATCAGGTCCCAAGGCTTTATTAGTCTTCATCCTCTCTAAAGCCTCCTTAACTTCATGTGTATTAATTCTACGCACAAATCTTCTATTCAAATCATCATAAGCGTCCTCCAAGTCCACCTCGCTTATATCTCTATCCCCATTAAACAGCTTGTTGAAGTATTTCATCCATCTTTCATTTACATCTTCATCTCTCACCAAAAGATTTTGATTTTCATCCTTGATGCATCTAACTTGGGTGAGGTCTTTACTTTTCTTATCCCTTATTTTTGCAAGTTTATATATACCTTTTTCACCATCCTTGCTTCCAAGATTTTTATACAAATCAGCGAAAACCTTGCCTCTAGCTTTTCGCACTGCTTTCTTTGCATTTTTTCTCGCCAATCTAAACTTTTGCAAGTTCTCTTCACTGGGACTTTTATGCAAAGATCTAAAACACTCCTTCTTATGTTTTATTGCCTCTTGCACCTCTCCATTCCACCACCATGTTTCCTTTGTATGAAATTCATTTCCTTTGCTTTCATGCAATATATTGACAATAAAAAATAATGAAATTAGGTTTTTCTTGTTTTTCATTTCTGGCATAGGCTGTGTGGCATGAGCAACTGTCATCAGGTAAAATTACTATGCAAAAGTATTCATAGGATGAAAGATAATAGCATAATTGCAAGAATGCTAGAAAACACAACACAACAGTATATGCAATGTTAATGAAAACAAAAATCTAGTATACATGAAGTCATAAACAACCATTTGAAAGCCACCAGAGTCTGTAAGCAGAGCACGCGGCCAGTTCATAAAATTGTGAAGACCACCAGCTTCATCAAGAAGCTCGGAAGTAGGTCGAAGGGCCAAGTGATATGTATTTCCAAGTATTATTTGGCAACCAATATCCTCAAGCTGGCTAGTTGTCAATCCTTTGATTGTTCCTGATCATTTAGAAACCCCATCCGTGAGGCAAAATTACAGCATCTCAAATGCAAAACAACTACTAAGCAATCCACCAAAAGCCTACCAAACTGAGAAAAATCATGTCAACCAATGCAAATATCAACATTAAGCATTAAGTATTCTATGGACAAGCAATAACCAATGTCCATAGGAAAATAATTCACTTTAAAATGTCAAGTGTTTCTTCAGTTATTTGCTCCACTGAAATAGGAGCTGCATAATCTCCCCAAAGCAGTAAAATTGGTGCCAAAGGTTCAAAAAGAAGATAGAAACGATTTGGCTACTCACTAAAAAAGTGAACTTTATTCTTTAATTCCATGCAAAGTTTTAAGCAGAAGAAAAACAGAAAAGTACTAGGAAAATTGCATTTGTTGCAGCTACCAAATTAGAAAGAATCAAGTTTAAACTCTAACCCTGTGTGCCCACCGGCATAAATAAAGGCGTTTGGCACACAAAATGAGGGAGAGTCAATAGAGAGGCACGAGCACGGTTGAACCTGCCAAGAACCTGAGAAAGGGAATAGCATAGAGTTCTAAGAATAACCGAAATACAGGTATGAAATAAACAAAAAAAAAAAATGTCAAAAGATCATGCGCTGGCTTAACAAACGCACACGGTGAACTTTTTGGCTCATCATGATGCAAAATTTGATTAACAATCTTCCATTTGATTTAACTATGAAGAGAAAAAAAGGCTAAGTACTTGTCACGAGAAAACTGCAGACAGTGTGACAGTAGAACTATAAATAAAATGAGAAGCTGAACCTCAAAACGAAGTGCCATTGTGTTTGTCTCGGAAGCAGGGCACATCACACTGGTAACGGTAAGTTCTGGCATGGAAGCACCATAAGCAAAAGCAATAGAAACAAAAATAAAAAATAAATAAAAAGTGTTTATATGATGAGAGAGAGAGATAGACAGAGAGACAGAGATAGAACTCACAGATACAGAGAGAGAAGGTAAAAGAGAACATGCGCTAATGGAAGGAGTAAAGTGCCCTAGGCTAATGCTAAGTTAAGGTTGTACTTGTGCATACCTTGGCGGCTGCGCACTTTGTTTGCAAGGTTTGGTCTCCTTTTTGGTCTCAAACACAAACACAAACCCAAACTCATTGGAACCTCAATACTCATCCCTCGATACATGGGAACGACCGTGCCTACCTGGTAAGACCAACAATTTTTTCTATTCCACTATGGGTTTGGTTCGGTCTTCCCCTAACTACCCAACCATATCATCGAGTCCTTTTCATCATTTTCTATCCTTGTTTTTTTAAAATAATAATTTTGAGATACGATATTTATCCATTTATTTTATCTCTACTCTATTTATTCTCTTTTTAACGTCATTAAATCAAAAATCTTAAAAGACAAAGTTAATTGAGATTCTGATATAACGATATTGAATATTAGTAGATAAAGTAGACATAAAGAATAATAAGCATGATATCCTATTGCAATTGTAAAGAACCTTGGGATACATCACCCCAAAAGCTAGCTCAAATGGTGGGAGTGACCAAGGCCTTATGAGCAACTAATGTGGGACTATATATCTCAACATGCCCCCTCACACAAGAGCCCATTGGGCTTGAAGAGTGGACAATACAATAGGCCCAGCCTACCTGTGCTAAGAAACTCCACAAGAGAAAGTGGGGGGCGGCGAGGCATACCATGTTAAAAACCTTGAGGTCACCACCCCAAAAGCTAGCTCAAAGGGTGGGAGTGCCCAAGGCCTTATAAACTCCACATTAGTTGCTCATACAACCAATGTGGGACTATATATCTCAACAAAGCTATATATCTCAACAGCAATAATTATATATATTTTCTTTTCTTTTTTTTATATTTCTTTGTAATACGATTAAATAATATTAATTAGAATAAATTCTGTGAGTATACTTTATTTTTATTGTTAATTATTTATTGAAAAAAAAATTATTATTTTTTGATACAATTTATTGAAACATTTTGCATATGAGAATTTCACGTGTTATTATTGTGCTTACAACTGTTTGATAAACTATAATTGCCATGTAGATTAAGATTTTTTTTTTTTATTTACAAAAGTAATATATTCAGCCTAATAAGTTGTATGGAGAGGGAACCAAAATAATGGTGGAATAAAGTCATGTATATGTCGCTTTCAAGTTTTAAGATGTTTGCGCAAAATTTGTTATGACGATAAAACACGATGCAGATAGAGTAATTTGGAATTCGAAGTCCGTTATGGCATTATCAATGATTTCCTAAATTTAATGCATTAATTGTTTTCTATCTATAATTAGTGTCATAAAGATACAATTTAAGATTTCTTGTGTGGTGTTTAAATTACACACTGATTAGTGGTAAAATATGGATTTAAAGTACTATTTAAAAAGTGTTTAATATACTTCACAAAATTTTCTTATTTTCAAAAAAAAAAAAAAAAATATTTAATATTATAAAAATTCAAGCATTAAATATCTTTACTGTTCATTTAATAAGACATATATTCCTCACCAAAAAAAAAAATAAGACATATATTAATTTATTAATTAATAAGTAGTTGTACATGTACATTTTAATGATATTATGTTCTCCTAATTAATATTTTTAAGTAAACGTATAATTTAGTTCTTGAAATATATAATTAGTTGTGTTATTCTAATTTTCGAAAGTTTTTTTTTTGGTGAATAATTTTCAAAAGTTTTCATCTATACAGAATAATTTCTAAAATGGTAAACTTGTTAGTAAGTTAATAACATTTACAGGATGAACTTGTTAGCAAATCGATAATTTTAATTTATATAAACATCAACTTTTTTTTTTTGGTAATCTTATATAAACCTCAACTTTAGTTTCAATGAATAAATCAACATATTTTAAATTAATGATCAAGTTGTATATTTATTTACTTTTTTCATAATTTTCTTAATTACTTAAAAAATAAAATATTTAATAATTTTGGGTTTTATTTTCAGAAAGTAGGAGGATGTTAAAAGAATTTAAAATTACTCATGAGGTAGTTGAAGTGTAAAAAAGTTGCTGGGGAAAATGGAAGACAGTGCTGGAGAAAAGGGAAGACAAATATTGAGTTTTAGGATAGTTCACCAAAAAAAAAAAAATATTGAGTTTTAGGATAAATTTGAAAATAAATTTTTAAATGAAGATACAAATAAATGTCAATTGCGTTTAAATTAAAAAAAAAAACTGAATCTCATATTGAGAGCTTTTCCTAAGATCTAATTTTAACTTTTTTTTACTAAAATAAGTTGCTTTTCTTTTTAAGAACTTCACCTCTTTTTTCTGGATAACATAAGAGCTTCTCCTTAGAAAGGAGAAGAAAAACTTTAAAAAAAGTTTGACGGGTACTTAATGAAGAAAAAAAATTGAAATTGAAATTGAAATTTCTAATTTCTTTTAAGGATATATTGCTTTTTAATGAAAATTTAATTTTTTTTATTCCATTTACCGATTTAAACATTTAAATTACATCTTTAAGCCTTGACCTAAAATCCTTCGCTCAATCTCTCTTTTTTCTTGGCTTGACTACTCTGCTTCTCTCTCTCCACAATAAGAATTGGAGCATTTTTTAGCTAACTCAATCCTAATTATTTTCTTGAAGCAAGTTGTCTCCTTTCGTATTTTCACGAACTTTGACTCTCAGAGCCGGCTATGTGACTAATTTGGAATGCGGGACAATCAAATATAAAAATATTTAAACTACTCTCAAAAGTGACATGTTGGAATCGAACTGAAACTCTTTCCTTTTCACCTACTTAGCTCCTTGCTACCAACAAAGCTACCACCATTTGGTTGAATTTGTTTTCTTTTCCCGTATTCGAGGTATAAATTGATCACTTTCTTGTTTTAGGGTTTTGTTGCTTGGGATGATCTAGCTTTCAATGGAAGAGTGAGACATATATAGCAAAGGTTTTTGTGGCATGGAGTGGGTATGTGCCAAAACCTTTTTGTCCTATAGATTTTAGGATAGTGTGAGGTAGTATGACTTTTTACGTGAGAGGGTTATGTGTGTAAAGAAAGGTAATGGAAAATAAGATCTAATTGTGGAGTTCTTGAATGAACCCAGTATATATCGGTCCAAAATATATTGTTAGTGTATAAATAACGAAAGACAATGATATCTTATAAATAAGGCTATAAAACTGAGTTAAATATTCATGTTAATCCGAGTATCTATTTGTTGACATATTTTAAAAGTTGTTTTTTCTTTAGTTTGGATTTTTCACTTCGAGGTTTAATCTAAGCGTAGGACGAGGGAAGCATGCTCATTTAGCCCATATTAGGGGCATAAGTCATTTAGCCTGGTCTTGATTTTGTTGATTACCATTTATATGGGTCACTTAAGCAGGCCAGCCAGTCTATGTTAAGAGAGTTTTTTCTTTAATCATATTGCAAAATTTTGCGTATTTTTTATATTGTCCCATTGATTAAATGCAAGGAAACATGGACACTTGTAAAAACAGAAAGAATCGTGTCCGACACGGCGACACGCTCTAACACGGTGTCGGACACGCGGTCAACTTTTTCTGACACGTTGACCATTTCGACACACGAATTTGACCGTGTCCGACACGGTCAAATGGCATTTTCGTAATTTTTTCAAAATTAAAATATGTTAATTAAGCTTCCACCTGATCATATCAATTTTATTTTTTAGTCTTTTTTTCCTTAAGTAGATAAGAGATCATCTCAGCATCATTGTTGTCAATTCCTATCACGCTCTTGTTGTATCTCCTTGTCTCCGATCTCTCTCTAATATGATTTGATCTCTCTATCTGATATTATATCTCTCTCTCATCCCAGTTCTTATTTTTTTATTAAAGCTTCCATCTTTATAACGTGTTGATGGGTATTATTAATTTAGTTTCATTTTTTGTTAAATTATTAAATATTAAATGAAATATACACTATATAAATTAAAAATATTATTTAATATTAAAACATGTCCCAACGTGTCGAAATCCATAACTTTTTAGGATTGACGTGTCGGAGTGTCGTGTCGTGTCACGTGTCGCGTGTCGTATCGGTGCTACATAGATTAAACGAGTTGATTAAACCTTTTGATACCGATACTTAGATAAAAAGTATAAGCAATCATAATTTACCAGAATAAGTTGATAATGTTATTAATTTTTTTAATAAAAAAACAATTTTCAATAGTCTGACCCATCCAACTAATATAAATGAGTTTTTTTTTATACATGAAAATGAATAAAAGACAAAGCAAAGAAATCAACATCAACATCAACATCACCTTTATCCCAAATTAATTGGGGTCGGTGGTAGATGAACCCAAATAAAAGATACGAAAGGGTTAAAAAAAGATAAAAATAAAAATAAAAATAAATAAATAAAATAGTAATAATATATATAAATATAAATATAAAAGTGATAAAAGAAGGGGAAAAGAAGAGAGGGAGGGGGAGAGGGAGAGGAAAAAGGACTAAAAAATGAACATCTGGAACATAGGAATAACAACGGGTCTAACCCTCCACCATGCATATAGATTTTCTCCATTTCGTTCTAAGGCACACCATCCGCCAATCTATATCACAATCCATTAAGTCTTGCTTTACTACCCATTTTCTTATAACGAAATAAAGACATAAAATAAAAGACTACCATTTCCTTTCCGAGGATGAGGAATGCCCGTCACGTCCGCTTGGAGAAGAAGTTTCAGCGAGCCAGGAGGTTCGTCAAAGATAACATCTTGTAATCCAGAATTATTGAGTGAAATATTAGCTAAAAAATTAGCACAACAGCTGACTTCTCGAAATACATGTATAACCGAAACCTGTCAATCACGATCAAGAAGTGCCTGTATCTGAGTCACCAAGCGAGATCCACGAGCTGCTTCACCATATTTGGTGAGCAAAGCGACCATCGAAGTAAAATCACTCTCAAGAATTAGACGACGCCAACCTCTCTGCCAAGCAATATTAAGACCATTCCAAACGCTCCCCACAATTATGATGTAAGCGTATTACAAATTCCAATGCGAGACGAAAATCCCACGAGCCAAAATCCGTAAAGGTTACAGAACAAACCCCCACAAGCAACTGCACCTGGAGATCATTTTGCAGCATCGTTCGTATTAAGCTTAATGAACCCAAACGTTAGAAATTTCCAACAGACTAAAATATCAACTGGATAAGGAATATCAGATGTAAAAATACCCATCATCTCCACAAATTGATGCTTAATAAAGGCAATAGAATGTGCTAATGGAGCAACCACCATATGAGAATGAGCAACTTGATTTCGCCAATACCAAAAATGATATAGGAAATTAACGAAAAAGGAAGGCCAATTACGAATATCAAGCTTCTCAAGGAACCAAAATTCATGCAACCAGTAAAATAAATCCCCCTAAAAAAATTCATCATGAAGAGATAAAGGAATAAAGGCACACCATAATTCACGATCACCAAAAAATTGCGCAAAGCATAAAGAATTGTCTCATCTTCTTGCCAGCAAACAGGACAAGTACTATCCTCATAAGACCAAGAGCAACCCAATCTCTAGTAGGTAGTTTATCGTGAGCAATCTTCCATAAAAGAAGCTTTAAACGATTAGGACCATTCCACTTCCATATCTTGGACCAAAATCTCTCCTCCCAAATAATCTGCTCCAAATCTTGAGTACCACTAATCAAATTATATAGCACCCTAACCGAGATCAGATCACCATTTCCTAGAGTTTACTGTTTTTTATTAGGGGGCTCCAAATCCGAAGATGGTATCACACTATGGATATGCAACACCACATCAGAAGGAAGCCAAGTAGAAATTAGATCAATCTTCTAGCAACCAGAATTCGAAACATAATCAGTTAGACACTTGGTTAAGTCCTGCAAGGGAACAGAAGAGACCAACTCATCAAGGGAAGTATCCTAGAACAACCATCTATCTTTCTATAACTGGATGGTTTTCCCATTTCTCACATTCCAGGTCTCTTGCAGATTGATTTTCACCAAAACACAACACAAAGATGTCCATAACCGCAAGCAACTAGAAGTCAAACCAAAAGTAAGCTATTTAACATTTGACAATCATGAATTTCTTATGTATGTGTATCTTCTATTTTCAGCATGCCTTGAATAATATTAATACCATAAGAATTACATTAATACCATACATTCCTCGCAAGGTTCGTGGGCTATTTAGCATTTAATTTTATAAATACATTTATAATTTTAAATTATACCTTGAATTACACATGTTACCGTTGTTAAACTAAATTATTGAAAAGGTATAAAATTGTTACTAATAACAAATGGGTTTAACTTTATGAGTCAAACCAAAACATTAAGACATTAAAATTACAATTTTGTCACTTACATATCGTTTTTTAGTTTATTCTTTAAATAATGGAGAATTTCGTATTCATACTTAAATTTTTAACATTTTTCTTGTGACAACATTTGTTAGTTGAATTTTTTTCGAATATATATGGAATTACATACTAAGTCTTAACTACACTTATAAAGTCATTGGTTTCACGATATCAGTTTAGGCAAAAAAAAAAAAAAAAAAAAACTCAAACTGTACCAACTATGATCTCCGAATATTTAGCCCCAATCAATTATTTGGCTCGCCCAAGAATAAGCTATGACACGAAGACTATCATATGGACGTATTTGATTCAGGAGAAATTTTTTTTTACTAGGGAAATGTAATTGATAGGAAAATAGTTGGAAAGTGAGTTTGGTAGGAAAATGTAAAAAAAGTTATTTGGTTGATCGAAATATTACCAGAGAAATTTATTTAAATATGCAAAATCTATGTTCGCGAGAAACTTTGTACCTGTTTTCTCACTTCCCCAGTTATCTCAAAATACCACATCTCAAGTGGTATTCTGTAACAGTGAATTTCATCCAAAAATCAACACAAAAGTCATTTTCTCATCTATCCTATTTGCCTAGTATTTTTTGAAAAAACCTGAACCAAACGTGGTATTTTCCAATATCCACTTACACTTTCCCATCAATCCCAAAATAAACCTTCAACCAAACACCACCAACCAGCCACAATCGACTTGAATTTATGTTAATGTCTAACAATATTGAGTTGATGAATATCACTCGTTCTTAATCAATATTCACTAATCGCAACTCCACCGCATGCCATTGAACTCTTAGGTTTTGTTTGGGAATTTGGAGGAGAGGAGAATGGAGGGGATCCAAGGAGGAGGGAGAGGAAGGAAGGGGAGGAAATTGGAGGGTATTTCCTTCCCTTGTTTGGAAGTTAAAAAATGGTAACGGGGAAATTGGAGGGTCAATAAGAAATTTTTATAATTTACCCTTTTTCTAAAATTAATATAATTATTATATTTCATAAATAAAATAAAATTTAAAATTGCTAAACAAAATTATTTATGTATTGTTCAGACTACTAAAAAAAGATAATATTTTCAACAAAAATCCTACGTTGAAAACGACAAAAATTCTGTCAAAAAAATATTTTTTCGTCGGAATACTTTTCATCGAAGACGATGGAATTTTTATCCAATGAAATATTTTACAAAAATAAAATTTCAGTCAAAATTTTCCACGGAATTTAGTTTTCGTCAAAAGTTTTGACGAAAATAATTTGTTAAATATTTTCGACAAAAAAAATACCATCAAAAGTTTTGATGGAAAAAAGAATTCCTTAAGAAATTTTGACGAAAAATTTTCCGTCCAAAATCTTTGATGAAAATGTGTCTCAATGAAAATTTCAAAGGAAATATTTTTTCAAAATTTTTGAGGGAAATGTTTCTGTGAAACTTTAGACAGAATTTACATTCTGTAAAGAATTTTGACGGAATATTTTTTTTTTCGAAATTTTTTACAGAAAGGTTTTTCGTCGAATTTTTTTACGAAAATAATTTTCGTTGAAATTTTTTGACGAAAATGTGTTCCGTTGAAAATTTTGATAGAAATGTTGTTTATCGAAAAAAAAAATTCAAAATTTTTTCGATAGAAATGTGTTTCGTCAAAAATTTTGACGAATTTTTTTTTCGTCAAAAAGTGTGACGAAATTATTTTCGTCGAAAACTTTTGACGGAATTTGTATTCTGTTAAGAATTTTGATGAATTTTTTTCTATCAAAAAATTTCGATTGAAATGTGTTTCATTGAAAATTTTGATGGAAATATTTTTTGTGAAAAAATTCAATGAATATGTCTTGTTGTGAAAAATGATGAGGGAAATGTTTTGACGAAATTTAGATTCCGTAAAGAATTCTGACAAATTTTTTTTGAGGGAAAAGTGTGACGAATTTTTTTTCGTCAAATTTTTTTACAGAAATATTTTCCTTCAAAACTTTTTACGAAAAATTTTCAATGAAAATGTGTGTCGTTAGAAATTTTGACAGAATATTTTTTCTGTCAAATTTTTTTACAGAAATATTTTCTGTTAAATATTTTTGACAGAAATGTGTTGCGTTGAAAATTTTGATGAAAATATTTTTTTATCGAAAAACTTGACGGAAATATTTTTTGTTGAAAATTTTCGATGCAAATGTGTTTCGTTAAAAATTTTGACAGGAATTTTTTTGTCAAAAAGTTTAACGAAAATATTTCCATCAAAAACTTTCGACGGGATTTAAATTCTATAAAGAATTTTCTGTCAAAAAATTTCGATTGAAATGTGTTTCATTAAAAATTTTGATGGAAATTTTTTTCGTGAAAAAATTCGATGAATATGTGTTGTTGTGAAAAATGTTGAGGGAAATGTTTTGAGGAAATTTAGATTCCGTAAAGAATTCTGACAAATTTTTTTTTTCGTCAAAATTTATTACAGAATTGTTTTTAGTCACAAATTTTGATGGAAATTTTTATCGTAAAATATTTTGACGTAATTGTTTTACGTCGAAACTTTTCGATGGAAATGTGTTACTTCAAAATTTTGGACAAAAATATTTTCGTGGAAAGATTTGACGGAATTTAGATTCTATCTATAATTTTGGTTGAATTTTTTTTCTGTAAAAATTTTATGTTAGTAATTATGGCAAAATTTGTTCCGTATCTAATTTTGTCTTTAGTTTTTAGGGAAGTTTTTTGACGTATATGATTTTCATTAAAAATTTCATCACTATTTTTGAAGAAATATTTTTCGTCGATAAATTCTGTCGGTATTTGAGATTTTTCTAATAATGTCACATTTAAAAATGATTCACATTATGTAATTTTTACATTTTAATGTTAAGGGTAGATTTTGGGAATAGAGAAGAGAACGTGACAAAATTAGAGGGAACTTAAATTTTAAGAAGAATGAAGATTTTGGAGGGTTTAGTAAAAATCCTCAATTCCTTCCCCTCATTCTTTTTAAATCATAAACAAGGGAAGAACTTCCTAAAACTCTCTCTTCCCTTCCCTTCCCCTCCAAAAACCATCTCCCAAACAGAGTCTTAATATTTTTATACTGAATCTAATTATTTTTTTGAGATGAGTCAATTTTGGATATTTTCACAAATTTCAATTTTTTGAGTCGATTATGAAATAATTCCGAGTTAAAATTTAGGGAGAACTAAAATTCTTCATTCTTTTCCAAAAATATATTTAATATGGAAGTCAAATTAAATTTTCTTCCCAACTACTCATCATTTATGTCCAATTACACTACGACTATTAAGTATAAATTTTTTTAGTATGCACTTTATATATATGAAAAGAATTTTACTTACATGCACATTACTTAAAATCCGTAAGATCTGAAGAGAGAGATATTTTTGGGAAAAGGATTCGGACACGTGTGGATGCTACTGGACTCGACTCCACTGTCACGTTCTCTTCTCTGTTCCCAAACTCGGATTCACGTGGCAGGCATGAAAATCGCATTGCTCGCTTCGATGCTTCTCTACAGATAAGAAAGCTCGCTCGCATTCCAAGCACCTCAACTTTCCATTTCCAATTTTGTATTCTCCATATATAAATAACAACCCAATCCTCTACCTCTTTGCTTTCACTCATCTCCCAAGTCCCAACAATCGGATTTTCTCGAACTCGGTTCTTTGTAAGGATCCAATATGCTTCACCATCCATTACTCTACGGTTCAAGATCCACTACTCATTCTACACTCTTCGCCTCTGTTTTTTCCGGCGGCAACTACGTCGGGCGTAGTTCATTTGCCGGAAATTTGTCTGGCCGTGACGTCGGGTACTTCACTTTAGATTTTGCATCCATTAATTGTAAGAATATTAGCTTATTAGTAAGCGCTAGTGGTTTCTAGAGTTGACATTTGATCTTATTATTAGGTTGAAGTTTAGTAAGCAAGCAACTGGAAGCAAATCTAATAATAACATGCATGGAGTTTTTAGTGAGGTATGTAATCATTAATGCGCTCAAGTATAATTGAGTGTGACTTCTCATCGCTATTGTAAATTTTGATTGAAAATTTTGGCATAGGTTAGGCAATGGACCGTGCCAAGCATAGGACAACTAGTGTTTATGGTGGTCGTGCTCAAGAAGGGTTACTTGAGGTATTTATGTCATTTATGTGTGTCTTCGTGCCACTGGCCTTAAAAAAAAAAAAAAAAAACTCTTGTTCTTAGGATAACAGAGAGCATGATCGTAGACCAACTGGAATAGATTATGCAACTCAATATTGAATGTACATCTGTCCACATGAAAGCAAAAGAACAAGGTTGGCAATTTTGAAGTTAGTCTGATTGTTTCCAAGATGACCTTGAAAGTTTAAGTTTTAAACTGTAAAAGCAAATAAAGAGGGATGAAAACGATGCAATCAAATGTTACTATATTTTAAGAGCCATACAGTATACTGTTTTTTTTCATAGGTTTAATCGCCAGCCTGATAGAGCACTTGGTTACAGTATATGTATCTTACAGCAAATAATTTTTCCTGTGATGTTAAATCTTAATTTGCTAAAATTCATTAATTCATCTAGATGTAATGAAGGCTTGCTGGTCAAGTCTATTACATTACCTGATGCATGCATCATTTTTTTCTCTCTTTCTCTCCCCTCCCCCTCCCTATTATTTGGATTCTTCAGAGATAAACCTAGAAATTTTTTTCATGATAACTAAATGCAGAAGGTTGTTGCGTTCACTATGTATGTTAATGAAATTTACTCAGAAGGTACATGTTATAGTCATCAAATCAAAGAAAGAACTCTTTTCCAACTTCGGACTTCGGAGGGAATAAAATTTGGATTGCTGATAATTTTGTTGCTCATGAGGTTAAATAATTATTGCCAATTATGGCACTTTCGTGCCTATTAGTCTAGTGGGGCAGCTATTAGTTGCATAGTTGCAATTTATAGTCATGTTTATAGAATGCAATGATAGTGGTTTTTTTATATGCAATTGTTTGCTATCTAAGAATCAGAGTGCTAAGAGCTTTGGTATTAAAGTAGTTTGTTGTTAAATCCCTTGCTAAAAATGAGAAATTCAACGAACACTTGCTCCAACCTTGTAAGAACTAAGAACACCAGGCTGTTATTTTTTGTGTCCCTTTTAACTGATTGAGAAAGATATTATTACCTCATTTTCAAAAGCTGTCCTGGCATTTCAGTTCAAGAGCCTCAACTCAAGTGACACTTAGGTAGCATTTGCTTGTGGACAAAATGGAATGGAACGTAATGTAACAGTTGATTTCAGTTTTGTTCTCCTGGGTTTCATCTTCTTTAGTAGAACCAAAATGTACCTCTTTTTAATCTCATGCCTAGTTCTATTCTATTTAAAAAATGCAGTAAACATAAAACAGAACTCTTATATTATGTTATGTCCCATTCTAATACGTCTACCAAGCTATACCTTAGTCTCTTTGGGTATTGTTTGCTCCACAAGGAGTAAATCCCAGCTAGGTCACTTTGTCTGCACTTTGGCCTATCATTCCCTTTTGGCCCAACCAATACTATGTCATAAACCTCCTTTGAAACCCCCTCCCAAAAAAATAAATGCCATACCATTATGCTGCAATTTATATTTGAGATTTCAAACATAGCTCCATGCTGCAATATTCTTGCTTATATCTGTTGCTCTTTGGCACATTGCATATCTGTTATCAAAGTGCATGAATGTGTCAAATACGTTAATCTTCAAGTCAAATGTGATGAGTGTAATCCATGTTGTAATGTCTTACCTTTTGCAATTCCAGGAAGAAGCCTCAAAAGTGCTAAGGAGCAGACCTTCATGGGAAATTTTCCCAGGCCAGGCATTCCCATTGGGTGTGTCAGAAGTTGACAATGGGATCAATTTTGCTATTTTTTCACAGTATGCAACTGCTGTCACACTTTGTTTAGTCCTTCCTGAGAGGTAAATTTAGATATTCTTTTTGTATGATTAGTTCAAATTTTAAAAATATTTCATTGATATATATATATATATATATATATATATATATATATATATACATTTGAAAGATGTGCTTTGTCTAATTTGATTTTAGCCTCATGTATGCATTTTTATCATGAGTCTTTAGTTTCTAACGCTGCAATTTTATATAATGATTTGTCACTTTCTAAATATTTGTTCAAAACTGTAATCCCATTAAGAGAGAGCTTTATTAGTAAGGATTCAATACTTGCATTTATTTTTTAGATCAATTGAGAGACTTCACTTCAAGCATTTGAACTCAAAATTTTGATATATGTTGAGTGTAAGTACCATATCAGCTTTTATTGTAGCTTTGTTTTATGGATGCTAGGGTTACATATTTATAAGAACCATTTTTGGGCCCTTACTAGACAACTTATTCTTTTGGGTCAAGTTGTTATTCACGTGGTATGAGAGTCTAGTTGACAAAATGGTCTACAGTTCAGTCTTTATTGGTCTCGGTCAAATTAAAGTTTTAGCCTCATGTGTTATGAGTCAATTTTTGAAGATTTTCTCTGTCATTCAAGGTCCTGATACAATTTCAAGGATGATGCAGACTGCTGCACCTTTCTGATATTACATACTTCATACCCTCTGGTCATTTTTAACACCAGTATAGTTTTTACATGCAACATTGCTTCAATTAATTGGAGTTCTCTTCTGTGGCATGAGTCATGACTATGTGCTGCGGTTTGTCGATGGGGTGCAAAGTGATTTTGCAACATGAATGTACTTTGTTGTGATAAGATATACTTTCTTGACAGTAATATTGCCTGAATTGTCCTACTACAAAACTTTATGTTTTGATTCTAGGTTTTTTCCCCAGGTTAATATATCCATAAAAATTATCAGTTTCCTTTTGTTTCACACACTTATTCTCATGTTTTTATAATGTTTTTTAGGGGAGGCATTGGCACATTGGATGGTGGCATGATAGAACTGGCTTTGGATCCTCATTTGAACAAAACAGGGGACATTTGGCACATATGTATTGAGGTATCACTTCTGTTAGATTGCCTAAAATTCGGCCTTACCTTGGTCTTCAGTTGAAATTGTCGTTATAGGTTCTGTAAAAGCTGTAAAAGCACGACACTTGTGTAATTATCAAGTAGCTTTCCTATTTTCATAAATAAATAACATTTTTCTGTGTATTCGAATATAAATTTTGTATATTTCTATGCAATATCTTCCTATGTATCCAAATTGTGTTAGAAATTGTTGAGATATATAGTCCCACATTGATTGTGTGGGTAACTAATGTGGCCTTTATAAGGCCTTGGGCACTCCCACCCTTTGAGCTAGCTTTTGGGTGGTGTATCCCAAGGTTCTTTACATGGTATCAGAGCTTGAGTGACTATAAGGTCACGAGTTCGATCCTCACGGCCCCCCACTTTAAAGTGGAATTAAAAATAAAAAGCACAAAAAGGTAAAACCAAAAATTGGGCCTGTGCAATTCCACGCTTCTAGCCCAAAGGGCTCTTGCGTGAGGGGGACGTGTTGAGATATATAGTCCCACATTGATTGTGTGGGTAACTAATGTGGCCTTTATAAGGCCTCGGGCACTCTCACCCTTTGAGCTAGCTTTTGGGGTGGTGTATCCCAAGGTTCTTTACATGCTCTGATACCATGTTAAGAACCTTGGAATACACCACCCCAAAAGCTAGCTCTAAGGGTGGGATTGCCCAAAGCCTTATAAAGGCCACATTAGTTGCCCCCAACCAATGTGGGACTATATATCTCAACACGCCCCCTCACACAAGAGCCCTTTGGGCTTGAAGCGTGGATTATGCACAGGCCCAATTTTTGGTTTACCTTTTGTGCTTTTTGTTTTTAATTCCACTTTAAAGTGGGGGACAGTGAGGCTCTGATACCATGTTAAGAACCTTGGAATACACCACCCCAAAAGCTAGCTCTAAGGGTGAGATTGCCCAAAGCCTTATAAAGGCCACATTAGTTGCTCATACAACCAATGTGGGACTATATGCCAACCCTAAAACTACTACAGCAGAATGGCCACTATACCGAAAATTGTACATACAAGACAAATAATTTATACTGTTAAAAAAATATAATATAAATCATTAATGTGGCCTTCACCCAACAGTTTAAGCTTTTGGGTTGAAATGATATTTTACATGGTATCAGAGTCTCTGTGATCAAGTGTTCAGCCCATTGGGCTTTCGTGTGAGAGGGCTTGTTATAAAAATATAAAATAAAACCATTACATGTCCTTTACTTGACAACTTAAACTTTTGGGTTGAATTAACACTTTACATATACTATACACATAAATTTTCAAAAAAAGCATTACCTAAAATTACAGATGTATTCATAATTAATAATCAAAGTCATGGATTAAACACATAATCACCATCAATTTAAGGCATAATTAACAAGGCTATAACAATTGAAGTCAAAGAGCATAAGGGGAAAAGAAAGTAAAGCATCAAATCTTAAATAGGTTGACGGAATTAATAGAAAAAAAAAAGACGGCTGTGAACTGTGAAAACATAGCAACTGAGGAAAAACATAAGAACAGAAAAAAAAACGTAGGGACAGAGTGCTGTGAACTGTGAAGGGCTCTGTACACGCTACACAGTACCAAAAAAAAGAAAAAAGAACTGAGCTTTGACGGAGACAGAGGGTGTGAACCACGAAGGTATGAACAGAGATCTGCGTGAAGAAACTAAACAGGGACCTCTATGAAGGGGCGTAAAGGATGTGCGTGGTTGAGCAGACCAGCAGAAGACATGGGCGAGCAGTGGGTGTGCTGGAAAGTGTCAGGCTTGGTCTGAAATAATGACAACAAGTAGTGGGTTAGGGGTCAGAGTTTGAGACAGAGGTCAGGTTTAAGTGTTTTTTGCAAGAATCATCAATGAAGAAGGGTTTCAAATCCTATAATGTTTCTAATTCCCAAAACAGAGGATAAATCATTAGAATACCCAAAAAGAAGGGCTAAAAAATTCAGAAAATGGAGCAAACCTGTTCACCATAGCAGCCGTGACAGCCATGTCTTGTCACGATAGCAGGCTGACAGCCCTGATTTTGGGCATGATGGCCATGACTCCAAAACGCGATGTGAAGGAATGCATGTTACAACCACGTACCGCAATGACGCTATAATGCTTCTATTGGGCGTGATTGACTACTCCGACTTTTCCTACACTTTTATGTGTAGAAGTATTGGCAATGATGGAGGAAAGTATATGGCATGTCTATTTGAATGTTCACATTGGATTGGTGTCCTGCTTGATTTACTTTGGTGTTGAATGTTGATGCACTTTGTTAAAAGATTTAAATGTAATTGGACCGAATGTATCAATTCGGATGCAGTTATGATATTATGACTATGTAGATGAAAACTTCCATTTTAAATTTGAAAAACTTTTATTCGCCCCTTTTCATTTTAAATGGAAACTTGTAGACATTGTACAGATGGATGAAATTTCATTAAAGAAGAAATTGCTCGTTGTAAGAGGAAAACATCTGTCAATAGTGTCTTCTGCTGTGGAGGATATCTTTTCTGTCCCCAGTTACAATTTCCCTCTTATCTGTCTAATAAAGTTTCTGTTTCTATTAAAAAAATCTGTCAATACTCTCATAGGGAACTGGATTGATTTGTTTTTGTGTCTGTTAACTTGGTTGATCGTGAACATATGGACTCTTGTTGGGTGATTATGAAATGTTAATTGGTATTTCTTCATGCAATCATGCGCACTTGCTGCTTGACTTGATTTTTATGAGAATCACCTTGCTATAATAACATCAAACTGATCCATGGTAGACTGGTGTTTTTAAATGATTTATGGTTGCTTGTGCTTATATGGTTAGATAATGAAGTTCTCTGGGATAAATGTACATCAAACTGTTGTTAATTTACCTTGTGCTAATTGTAGATAATGCCATTATTTTTTTGAGACTAGTGCTGTGTTTTAGCGACAAGCTCTTGGCTCTGCATTTTTATTTCTTCCGTTATATCCAAGTCCAATATTGCTCAGATTGCACAGAGTTTGTAGCATTTTAATATATTTTCACCTTTCAATGTGAAGGATCTTCCTCGGAGCAATGTTCTGTATGGATATCGCATAGATGGACCTCAAGACATGGGTGAAGGGCATCGATTTGACAGCAGCATTGTGCTTGTTGATCCTTATGCAAAACTAATGGAAGGTCGACGATATTTTGGGGATATTAGCATGAAGTTGTCCAAGTTTCTTGGCACCTATGATTTTGACAGCTTGCCTTTTGACTGGGGAGAAAATTACAAGCTTCCAAATATTCCAGAGGTATTTTTCCTCAAGGTTTCATCCAAGTTGAATCATGTTTGTATCTATATCTTTGGCTTATATTCTACCTTTGCTTTGCATGCTGTTACAGCTTATGTCTAGTAGTTTTAATTTGACTAAGAATATGACTGCATATTGTATGTGTCTGGTTGAATGTAGTTCCATATTCATTATGCTCCCTTGCTGCAAATGCAGAAAGATCTTGTTATATATGAGATGAATGTCCGCGCATTTACAATTGATGAATCTAGTGGGTTGGATAGCAACATTCGTGGCAGCTATCTTGGTGTTATTGAGAAGGTAATATTTGCAATATAATTAATATAAATATGATGTAACACTATATGCATGGGTATAAAATTTTAAAAGTTTCATTTCCTTGTGAAGTGATTGTCCAAAATATATTAAACGAAGCCTAGTGTCAAACTGCTGTAGGGTTGACTATGTTAGAGATGTAATATAAAATTATTCATGTGTTTTCATCTTACAACTTGAGCTTTTATTATAGTTGGCTCATAATAGTATCAAACTCTCTATGACCAAGTAGTTTAGAGTTCGATCCTTACTGTCTCCATTTTTCTAATAATTAATTAAATTTCATCACAAGGTAAGAGGGCCTGTGTATTGTCCATGCTTCAAGCGCAAAGGACTCTTACGGGAGGGAGCATGTTAGAGGTTTAGTATGAAATCATTTATGTGTCTTCACCTAACAATTTAAACTTTTGGGATAGTTGGTTTATGACAGATCAAATGAAATGTGTTATAATATTATCAAATGGATTGTAGCAAGTTTTCCTTTGAGGTCAACAGAAGTTCAACCATTAAAATATAAACAGTTAAGAAAAAATGTTATGCTGACAAACATGGGGATTTGAATATTGGGATGATGGTGATTTTGTAATGGAATGTTGATGTTCTGTAGCAGTTTCAAACCCTTGGTGGAATATATATTGTCTTATTTCCAAAGGTAATAAAAGGCATCTCTTCCCCCACCGCCAGAAGGTAACTGATTTTGATGTGTTTCTTTTAGAAGAGTCTAAAGACAATACGTAGGAAATTTTCAATATCTCGAAACTTTGGCTTAGCTCTCTCAAATCCAAGGATGGGATGCTCTTTCCATGGAGAGCTATAACGGGCTTATAGAACATTTCCTTGACACGTTATAATGGTACATGGCACAACTAATCTTTATACAGAACGTTTGCAAAATTTATGTGTTTTAAAAAATGATTGAGAACCTAGAGATATGTTAAACCCTCTACAGAAGGTGAGAAAAAGTTATTGTCTTACTGTTGTGCACAGAATTGTGATGAAACTCATAGCTAGCAAATTTCATTCTGTCAAGTGGTACAATGAAGTATTCTTGTGTTCAATCTGTTCTATGATAAAGTATATGCAAGATTCATAAACCTAGTACTTCTTAGATACTATATTAATGCGACTTATTTAAACAAGCTTTATATGTTCATGCTAGTTATCGGAGACGGCAGTCTTGCAGTTATCTTGTCAGATAAAACAAGAAGAAAGAAAGCCTTACTTTTCATGATACTGTTGCACACAATGTTTTGTGATCATTAGGTATCACAGAATAGGAGGGTGTATACAATGCTTTAGTGGTTATACACCATCTTCAATTTTAGGAAATATAGTTGTTTGTTCATTATTATATGCTTTTACTTGCTATTTATTGTCTTTCCATATTTAAACTTATTTTGTTGTTTGCCTATAAGATCCCACACCTTCTGGAGCTTGGTATCAATGCAGTGGAGTTGCTGCCTGTCTTTGAGTTTGATGAGTTGGAACTCCAAAGGCATCCAAATCCCAGAGATCACATGGTAATTTTGAAAATATATTATGCTCTATTTTTTGTGTCAAAGTTTCGTATGGGAGCTCTTCATTTTGTACTGTGTATTCCCAATAAATAAATCAAAATAAAAGTCTTCTCCCTGGCTGTTTACACATGAATTCTTAAGTAATGGACGATAACTGAACACATATATAGGTGGCACAACTATAATTATTTTTCGTTTTCACAGATTTAATGTGCAAATCTGAAAACACTAATTGCGGTTTTGTTACATGCATTTTTCTTTGATGATTGAAGTGATCAGACTATGGGTGTGCATGGCAACCATTTTGTTCCCTGGCACTCTTTCTGAAAAGAAACAATTCTTTTCTATTTCTGTGCCTTGGAACAGTTTCTGAAAAAAAATAAAATTGTTTGATAACTGTTCTATTTTTATTCCGAGAATGAGAATTGCATTTGATAACACAACAAATAATAGAATAAAAAATCATTCTTATTAAGCATAAATTTTTATCGGACCATCACTTTTCTTTTCATATGGTGTGGTGGTGGTGGTTGTGGAGGCGGCGGTGGTAGTGATAGCGATGGTGGTGACGTTAGTGGCTACGGCGATGGTGGTGATGGTTAGTGATGGCATGGTGGTGGTAACGGCAGTGGCTGCGATGATGGTGATTGTGATGGTGGTGACGGTAATGGCTGCTGCAATGGTGATTGTGGTTGGTGACGGTGGGTGGTGATGGTGGCTTGAAGGTGGTGGTGTTGACGGCGATGGTGGTGGTGGTGGTGATGATGGTAGTGGTGGAGAGTGATTGAAAGAGACAAATGTTTCTCATTTTGTGCCCGGGAACAAAATTGCAAAATTTTTGATTCTTTTTTCTATTTCCCAGGACAGAAATTTAACTGGTTCATTCTCGGGAACGAAAAAATAAACCGGTTTTGTCAAACATTATTTCTATTCATTTTTGTTCTCGGGAACAAAAATTGAAAAAAAAACTGATTTTGGGAAGGTCGTCATGCACATCCTATGTAAGTTTGACTTACTAAGTAGCAATATATGATACTAACAGTTGTGTTTTTGCTTTTGAAGATTAACACATGGGGTTATTCTACAATAAATTTCTTTGCTCCTATGAGTCGCTATGCTAGTGCTGGTGGAGGATCAGTTAATGCTTCCCAAGAATTTAAGCAAATGGTTAAAGCCTTACATTCTGCTGGCATAGAGGTAGTAACGTTCATTTTTCACCCTCACAACTTTGGAGTGGTAACATGTTGTATATTTTGATCGCCTGGTTTCTGTCTTATTTTATATCATCTAAAATCTTATGTACCTCTTACTATAAATCCTATCCATACACAGGTTATTTTGGATGTTGTCTATAATCATACTAATGAGGCTGATGATGCCAATCCTTACACTACTTCGTTTCGTGGCATAGATAATAAGGTAATTTCAGATTTGTAATTCTATTTTTGCAGACTGTTATTCATACCGTGGAATACTTGCAATATATTTATTTCTTTCTATATGATTTTAATGTTGTTATAAATTGGTTAGTCCTATAATGTATGTATAGTTTACTTTACCTTGTGTGTGGAAAAGACTTCAGATACTTATTCTTTTTTTGTGGTTAATGAAATTTAATTGATAAGACTCCACAATAGCATAACATATACTATGTATGCAGGTTAAATACAAAATGAGGTAAAAAAGAAAAGAAATCATCTAAAAAGAAAGGTTTATATATATTGATGAACAACTTGAGTTGACATTTAGGTCTCACTTGAATATAAAATAATATGTTGTGTATTAATCTGATACAAAGAGTTACAATATATAGAGACCTTTCCAAAGGAATAATATTTACAGATAGGAAGTAATCTAATCATATCTAATCATATCCAATCATATCTATTCTAACACTCCCCCTCAAGCTGGTGCGTATATATTGTGAGCATCAAACTTGCTACAAATGAATTCAACCCGAGGACCTCTAAGAGGCTTTAGTGAAGACATCTGCTAGTTGATCATTAGAGTTGACAAAAGTTGTCTTGATTTCTCCTGACTGAATCCTTTCTCGAATGAAGTGACAATCAATCTCTATGTTTGGTTCTCTCCTGAAATACAGGATTAGAGGATATATGTAGCGCAGCTTGATTATCACAAATGAGTGTCATGGGTTGTTTCTGTTCACAAAGACGAAGCTCCTGAATCAACTGCTTTAACCAGATTAACTCACATGTAGTAATTCCCATTGCACGATATTCAGCTTCTGCATTAGATCGAGCAACAACAGGTTGTTTCTTGCTCTTCCAAGAAATTAAGTTTCCTCCGAAGAAAACACAATAGCCAGAAGTAGAGCGCCTGTCTGAGGGTGATCCTGCCCAATCAGCATCTGAATAACCACAAATTTCTGTATTTTCCTGATCTGAATACAACAAACCTTTTCCTGGTGCTCCTTTGATGTATCAGATGATCCTCACAGCAGCATCCCAATGAGAATCACAAGGGGAATCAAGGAACTGACTAGCCGTACTAACAGCGAAAGAAATGTCTGGCCTAGTCACTGTAAGATAATTGAGCTTCCCAATTAGCCTCCGATAACGACCAGGATCAGATAACAGCTCCCATGTCCGGGCAATAACTTGACATTGGAATCCATGGGTGTATCAATTGGTTTACACCCAACATACCAGTCTCTTCTAGGATATCCAAGGCATACTTCCTTTGACAGATAGAAATGCCCTGTCTAGATTGTGTTACCTCAATTCCCAAGAAATAACGCAGCTTTCCGAGGTCCTTTGTTTGAAATTGATTGAATAAATACTGTTTTAACTGACGAATTCCAGCTTGATGACTCCCGGTGAGGATGATGTCATCAACATAGACTAACAAATAGATGCACTTACCAGGAGATGTGATCCTATAAAATACAGGATGGTCAACTTTACTGCGAATTAAGCCAAACGCCTGAACAGCAGAACTGAAGCGACTGAACCATGCCCGAGGAGACTTCTTGAGACCATATAAGGATTTTCGAAGACGACACACCTTCCCAGACTCCCCCTGAGCAACAAAACCAGGTGGTTGCTCCATATAAACTTCTTCTTGTAAATCACCATGAAGAAAGGCATTTTTGATGTCAAGTTGAAGGAGTGGCCAGTGACGAATAGAAGCAAGAGCAAGAAATAGGCGAACTGACGCCATCTTAGCGACTAGAGAGAATGTATCGCTATAATCAAGGCCGAAGATTTGAGTAAAACCCTTTGCAACTAGGCGTGCCTTGAGTCGATCAACATGGCCATCAGGTCCAACTTTCACAGTAAAAATCCAGCGACAACCAACGATAGACTTCTCTGGAGGAGCAGAAACAAGGTCCCAAGTGCCATTGGAATGAAGTGTAGTCATCTCATCAAGCATCGCTTGGCGCCACCCTGGATGGGAAAGTGCTTCACCTGTGGTCTTAGGAATAGAAACAGAAGAAAGACTAGAAACAAAGGTGAAATGAGGTGGAGAAAGACGGTCATAGCTCAAAAAGGTATAAAGAGGATAAGGGTTACGAGTAGTACGTGTACCTTTTCTTTGAGCAATGGGAAGAGCCTCTGGTGAAGGAGCCGGAGGGGAAGAATCAACAGCAGTGGGCGATGAGTCAGCAAGAGTCGAGTCGACAGGAGGCACAGTTTTGCGACGCTGATAGGTGAGAAGTGGACGGTCCTCAGGTATAGAAGCAATAGGTTGCTCATCTGGAATAGAAGCACCTGCAGTTGGCAAAGACAAGTCAAGAAAAGGAACAGGAAGAACATGATCTACCTGTGACAATTGAGATGGGATAGAATTAAATGGTTGTTGATCAAGAAAGGTGACATCAGCGGAAACTAAGTAACGCTTAAGATCGGGAGAGTAACAACGATAACCCTTTTGAAGAAGAGAATAACCAAGAAAAATGCATTTAAAGGCTTTGGATGTTAACTTGTCCTTACCAGGAGTGAGATCATGAACAAAACAGGTACAACCAAAGACATGTGGGGATAGAGGATAGAGAGGAACATCTGGAAGCAATAAGTTATAACTTATAAGGAATGTCATTATTAAGCACAAATTAAGGCATACGGTTGATGAGAAAACAAGAAGCAAGGACTGCATCGGCCCAGAAGTGAAGAGGAACATGCATGTGAATAAGAAGAGTCCGTGCAGTCTCAATGAGATGTCTATTCTTACGTTCAGCTACTCCATTTTGTTGTGGAGTGTGAGGACAAGTAGTTTGGTGTAAAGTATCCTGTGTGGCTAAGAAATTAGAAAAGTCAACAGAAACATATTCCTTAGCATTATCACTACGTAAAATACGAATAGAAGCACCAAATTAAGTATGAATTTCAGTAGAGAATTTTTGATAAATAGAAAATAACTCAACGGTTTTTCATTAAATAAATCTAAGTACAATGGGAAAAATCATCAATAAAGGTCACAAAATACCGAAAACCTAAAACAAACACACTACGACTAGGACCCCAAATATCTGAATGAATAATTGAAAAAGGAGCATCAGCTCGTTTATTGACTCGATTAGCAAAGGAGGAGCGTATGTGCTTTCCTTGCTGACATGACTGACAATCTAAAGTCTGAAGACCGGATAAAAGAGGAACAATCTTCTGTAATTTTGAAAGACTAGTATGCCCGGGGCGACTGTGGATGAGTTGTGGAGATTCTGTGAGAGAACAAGCAACGGAAGGACTCGGCACAACCAGGTAGAACAGTCCCCGTGAGTCACGGCCCACTCCAATCGTCTTCCCGTACTCGGGTCCTGTAATGGTTTGAGAAGGTGACAATAGTGCCATCAGCAAGAGTAAAAGAGGGTAAATTATCAGAATATGTAAGGGATGAAAAGAGTTCCTTATTACCACAGAGGTGATCAGTAGCACCTGAGTCAAATATCCAAGGACCAAGTGATGCAGAATGAGAAACACATGCAACGGGATTACCAGTTTCTGAAGCTGAGGCCTGAGACTGAGGAGAGGCCTTCCTGAGAAGGGTCTGGAGTGCTGCATAGTCTTCAGAGGAGAGAGAGACTGTACTATTTGAAGCAGTATCCGATTGAGCTATATTAGCAGCATGAGAAGGTCGCAGGTGAGGATACTTTGTGTAGCAACGTTCCTCATAATAACCAAGTTGCTGACAATAATGACAACGAGGTCGCTGATCACGTCATCCTGGGTTACGTCCTCCCTGGCCTCTACCACGTCCACCTCCAATGTTCCCGCGAAAGTCAGTACGGGAAACTAGAGCAGTGGAATCAACAACAGCAGACGATGCAGGAGCAGATTTCTTATTAAGATTCAGAAGACGCTGATACGTCATTGATAGATCAGGATCCCCACTAGTCAAGATAGTATCCCGAACATTATCATATTCTTCGGGGAGACCAGACAGTGTGGCAACCATAAAGAGACGTTCCACCTGTTTCCGATATGCAGAAGTATCAGTAGGGTAAGGCAACATATCCAAATATGCCTGCATCAAAGATCGACTTTTGCCAACATATGTCTCCATCTTAATGTCGGATGATTTGCTCAATTCCATAAACTGAGAAATGATGAAATAGAGCTGCTGAACATTATTAGTGTAGAGGTTTTTTGCTTCCTCCCACACTTCAGTGCAAATTTGAAAAGAATGGAAGATGTCCAAGACGATATTTGAATAGACTACCAAAGGATACTCAGAAGCTGGTTGTCAATCTTTTCCCAATCAGATTTTTCCTCCTTAGGAACATTAGTAGACTTAGTCGTGAGATGGTTCCCATGTCCCTGTCCAAAGAACCAAACTCGAACAGAGGTGTCCCAGTTCTTGTAATTAACATAACCCTTCAACTTTGAAGAGGTAATGGATCCAACATTGGTGGAGATGATATTGGGAGAACTTTTGAAAGGAGGAGGTGGAGAACTGACCTCCGAATGAACAGGAGAAGTTGCTGCCATTATATTAAATCACAAAGATATAAACCGAGTAAATAGGAACGAACCTGATCACTGATCAAGAAGAGGCGCGCACAAAAGTCAGACCCACAAAGAACCAACCACAGATCTGGAAAGAGGAGGAGGAGGCGAGCTTCTCTGTCCAAGACCGACCGGAAAAAGCTGCCGGAACAGTGCACACGCACCAGCAGAAGGTGGCGCGTGAGGACCACGCGCAGAGGAGATGGGCGGCGCGTGACGGATGCGTTGGTGGCTGGACTTCCACAGACTTGGTCGCCGGGAGGAGACGGTCCTGATCGCGTGCGGTCTCGGCTGAAAACTCGCCGGAAAACTTCTCCGGCGGCTTGAACTGTGACAGACGGTGGTTCCGGTGACCGTCGGAGGTGCTGACGCGTTCGAAAATTACTCAGAAAGGGCTTACAGCCCTTGATGGCTTGCCGGAAGGACGCACGACAAAGAAAAGATGACTCCTAAGCAGTGGGCTTAGGTTTTAAAGCGAAAACAAGGTTTTGAGCGGAAGCGAGGGTCCCCAGAACAAAAGAGCTCTGGTACCAACTTGAATATACAATAATATATTGTGTATTAATCTGATACAAAGAGTTACAATATATAGAGACCTAATGGGCTTAAGTGAGAAGCCCAGAACTAATCCAAAGGAATAATATTTACAGATAGGAAGTAATCTAATCATATCTAATCATATCCAATCATATCTATTCTAACAGTCTCCAAGTAAATAATATTATCAGGAGTGGTCTCTTCATCATAAAATTGCATCAGAGTGCACTGGAACTGAGTTCCAAATGGCCAAAATACCCCCCTCCCCCGCGAACTTATGACTTCAACATCAAAGATCAGAAATGTCTTTGGCAGTATCCACACCAAAGGTAGGAGGTAAGGAATGTCATAGCTTCGACCTCTTGACCTTAAATTAATTGATGAATTCAGTCTCCTCTGAAATATAGTAAAATTTACTTCCTTGATTGTCGATTTATAATTCTACAAAAATTAAAAACAGTTCATGGTGATATACTTCACTTTGCTATCATCTCTATTCAGTAACAAATTTATTTGTCATGCTTGTCTAGTTATATAGAATGTTGAAAAATGATTTGCTTTTTCTCGAGTAAAACTTTCTTCATTTCTACAGGTTTATTACATGCTGGACAATAAGGGACAATTGCTGAACTTCTCTGGCTGTGGTAATGTTACAGCTTTGTTCATATAAATTCTTAGGTGTCATTCCTGCCCAGTGGCGCAGAGCGGCTGATCCCAAAAATACTATAGCAGATAGCAGCATGGCCAATATACCGAAAGTTATGTATACAAGATAAGTAATTTATAGAGTAAATATCCTTTTTGGTCCTCAGAAAATTTCATGATGCCCATTTTAGTCCCTAGCAAATAAAAAGGCCCATCATGGTCCCTAAGAAATTCAAAATGGACCCATTTAGTTGAAATTGTTGTCCTTCACAAATTTAAAAAAGACCCATATTAGTCCCTAAAAGGACTAAAATGGGTCCATTTTGAATTTCTTAGGGATCACTATGGGCCTTTTTATTTGCTAGGGACTAAAGCGGACATTGTGAAATTTGTTGAGGACCAAAAAAGGTATTTACTCTAATTTATATTACACGCATAAGTACTCAAAAATAAAAAAATTACCCAAAATAAAAAACATGTTCGTCATTAATAGTTTAAAAGTCACGGTGACACAGTCTAGATACTCAATCACCATAAAGTTAAGGCATAATTAAGAAGTCAATTATATAGGGCTGGGAATTGCAAATTACACGACACAAAAAAGAAGAAGAAAAAAGAACAGAACAGAAGGGGTCCTGAAGCATGTTTTTAATTTTTGAGCATTTATACATGTGTAATATAAATTATTTATCTTAAATGTATAAAAACCACTCTCCATTCAACCTCGAACAAGGGTAGGGGTGAGGGCAATCTTTAGAATGTGTAATCTTAAATGTATAATCGTTAGAATAGTGTCCATCCTGCCATCCACTATCCCACTATAGTGGTTTTGGGGTCGGTTACTCAAGACTGTTATTTGGGATTGATAACTATGTATTGATATTTGATATCAATATTAAAGTCCTCTAATTTGGACCAGGAAATACATTGAATTGTAACCATCCAGTCGTCATGGAGCTAATTCTTGACAGCCTAAGACACTGGTAAGTACTACTTGTACAAAATTTGTTATTCATATGATTATTTGTTATTCATATGATTGCTAATTGTATATATCTTGATTTGTTTCCTGAAATTCATCTAATACTGGCTTTTCCTTGTTCATTTGTATTACATAGACCTGATACTTTAGAATTTTTAGTTTTCTGGTTTCTTATACTTATAGATGTTCATGAAGCTCTGTATATTGTTAAGATTTCTGTATCTGTCCTCCCCTTTTTCCAGTGATTCTTTACTACTCAGTTAGTAATCAGTAAAGGCTGGTTTGTTTCCACGAGGCTCTAGTATTGTTTGGCTATCTTTTGTGCTTTTTTTCAAAAATGTGAAATGAATCATCTTTTGTGATGCCACTGGAAGTACTAACATTTCTAAACTAACTTGTCATAATTCTATTTTAAGTTTCTAATTTTTCAAGCACTATTTTTTTGTGTGCGTGGCTTTTTTTTTTGGTTCACTTTATTGTAGGGTCACTGAATATCATGTGGATGGATTTCGATTTGATCTTGCGAGTGTCCTGTGTCGAGGAATCGATGGTTCCCCCCTTAATGCTCCACCAGTTATTAGGGTAAAAATTAATTTGCACATTATAGCTATAGTTAATGAGCTCATATGTCGTTTTCTGGAATACTGTGGTATGGTGTTTATCAGTTTGGTTCAGTCATTTGGGATCACAGATCATCTGAAAAAGATCCTGGATACATGTTGGGCATTCATGTCAGACATAATACAACACTTCAAAAATTCATGAAATTTTAGATTTTCCTATGTTGCAGTGTTTCAATTTGTGTCTGTTCTTAGCTCTAAACTGGTGTAATTTGTTTAGGTATCGGGCCAATAAAACTAGACCGATGTATTGTGTCAAACTAAACAAATCCAAACTGAAAACAGTCAATTTAAATCAGTCAGGTTTAATGATTTTTATACAAAAAAAGAGTTCCTATAGCTTTCAGAAGTCTAAAGAAATAACCTCCTTGGCTATTAACTTATAAATGAGAGTTCAGATTCTATCACAAGATGTTAATAACATTCCAAGCAAATCATAGAAGGGAGGACTTGAGCAACTTAATTCAGTATCTGCAAATTTGTAGCTTTACCTATTCATGATCTGCTACTGGATTGGGGTGGGGCCATGCAGAGCATTAGATAGATAGATTGATTGACAGTGGTGATAAGACAGAGAAAGGGGTTAACAGAAAGTCAGGGGGTAGTTTTCTGACATAAAAATGTAAAATATCAACAGAGCCCATTTGATCAATCAGTAAACAAGTAAAACTAGACAAAGTTGTGTAATTAATTCTTTGGCCAAAGTGGCACACAGAAGAACAAATTAGTCCCTTTGCCAAATAGAGAAAGGAACTGATTTAAAATACCCATGAGTTGAAACCAATAAAAGATTAGGAAACAAGCCTGTCCTACAAAAGAGATGAAGGAAAAAAGTGCGGAATAAATTTTTTGGCTTTTTACCCCATCCACATGACCAAAATCCGGCCCAAAGAACACAATTCCTTGGCATCTTATTCTCCTTTTAACCTTCCAAACGTTACAAATGGGTAGGAAAGAAGAACTCTGCATTAGGTGGAAATCAGATGTTATCCTAATTAGATGAATTGATTAGAAATCGAAAACCAAAAGGAGCTGAGCTATTCAATAAAAAATGAGAGCCAATCAAAACCTGAATTTGAGTAAGTTTATTTGGTTTTTGATCAGTTTTGGTTGACTTGGTTTCATCTAACCAGATTGGTTTTAAGCACCCCTACAATTTATATATTCAAAACAATCGTTGAGTAGCAGTTGTCCTCTCCCTCAGCTAGAAAATTGGGAATTTATTTGATTTTTAGTTAACTAACTAATCCTATCTTTATTTACTTTTGCAGGCAATTACTAAAGATGCAGTCTTATCGAGATGTAAAATTATTGCAGAGCCTTGGGACTGTGGAGGTCTCTATCTTGTTGGAAGTTTTCCAAATTGGGATCGGTAATTTATTTTTTTGTTATTAATGTTTATTATTTTGAGTAAATATGATTATTTTATGAATAATCTTTGTTACAATCCCACACATCATGAAAGTTGAAGAACTTGATGCCTGGTCAAAAGCAAACAATTTAACCCATGCTGGCTTCGTGATCTTTGTGATCTTGATATTGTGTATAGGTTAATAGTTTAATTCTTGATTTCAGTGGCTGGCTATCTTAAATAGTTTAAATCCTTCTTTTTTTGTGTCTAATTGTGACTTTCATTTCTGACAACTTTGCCACTGATTAAGAATGAAAGTGCACAAGTTTATGACATAAAAATCAACATGAATGTCACTCAATCATTCTAATTCTGCCATTGAATTAATTGAGGTTGAGGAACATGATTTTTTAATTTTTTTAATTGTGCTATCGGTCAACCTCTTCTGAACTGCATCAATATAATTTTATTTACAATGCAGAATAGATGATTTTGAGGACATCATCTCTGCATATTTCCTGGAAATTAGTTCTCCTCTGGAGAAATTAATTTATTATTAAAATAGAAAACATGTTCCTCCCATTAATGATTTGTCTTTGATGTAGGTGGGCTGAATGGAATGGGAAATATCGCGATGATGTACGGAAATTTATCAAGGTAATTCTAAGAATAAGAACATATCTATTTAAATTGATCTGGATTGTCGGACCTTTCTTTGGACTGTTTGAATAGGCATAAGGTAGCTGGCATGGCTAGTAAAAGGCAAATAGAAATCAACTGTCTCTCTTATCAATATGTTGTATGGGGAGTAAGAAATATAGATGGGAAAACTGGCTGCCTTTGCAATGTGCTATGGTTTGACTTATGACATGTTTGATTTATTCCTACTTTATTGTCTCCACAGGGCGATTCTGGTACGAAGGGGAGCTTTGCAACTCGTGTTTCTGGGTCTTCTGATCTTTACAGAGTAAGCATTAGTACTTATAGCACTTCATGGTTGTTTCTTTATGGGTTTGATACCATGTCAAAGACAGTTTATTATTAAGATGCTGGCGAAATACAATGTGTCCAGTATTCCAGCTGCTAAAGATTTGTGGTTGATCTTGAGGGTTCTTTTTTGGTTGCCTTCTCGGGTGATATTGAGAAAACTAGTTCAATATGGCTATAATATATGATATGTTTGTTCTGTTTTATGGCAAAGTAGAACTTTCTAATTTTGTTCCTCCCTTGGTTACTCTCCATTACCTTGAGATTAACCCACTTTTTCAAAGTAGTCGGTAGGTTATTTCTATCCGGTTAGCTGATTTTTGCTATACAAATTCCAGGAGCTGCTATATGAATAATTTTATACAAATGGCTTCCCACCTTCATTTGTTTATCTTAAAGGTGAACGAGCATAGGCCATATCATAGTATTAACTTTGTTATTGCACATGATGGATTCAATTTCTGTGACCCATAATTTTAATTCATTAATTGAATTGGATAGAAATTACATACTGCTTTTAAAACGTAGGTTAAACTCAAAAGTAATGGAGATTTGGTGTGTTTGGATAAGGTTTAAAATAACTTATTGCATAATGTAGCTTTTTTTAAGAGATTTTTTCATAAGCTACTCTTTCTAGTTTATGAGAAAAGCAGCAGAATTTGTTTTTTTGGGGTTTTTGCATTTTCTTTTTGAAAAAGTTATCTAATTATCATAAACAAATTTAAATATGGTTCTTTAATTAGAAAAACACTTTTTTCTTACAAAAAGCAAAAACAAACGGGCCTTCAATCAAGCTGATTTTCACTTTAAAAAATTTCATTGCTATATTCTGCCATGTAAATAATTTTATCATAATGGTTTCCTGCCTTCTTTTGTTTATCGTGCAGGTGAACAAGCGTAGGCCATACCATAGTATTAACTTTGTTATTGCACATGACGGATTCACCTTACATGATCTTGTTTCATACAATTTCAAGGTACCTCTTAATTCTGTTCTTCAATTTTCATTGTTTATCAAAACCTAGTATCTTCTTGATTCTTGGTTTTGTAGCACAATGAAGCTAATGGGGAAGGTGGAAATGACGGAAGCAATGATAATTTTAGTTGGAATTGTGGTTTTGAAGGTAGTCTCCAAATTGCAATGCTTTATTTGGTATCTACTGTTTAGCTATGCTTAGTATTTGTTTAGCAATAAATGTTCTCTTTTAAATTAATTCATTCCAATATACTCATGAACACATTAATATATTATGTAAAAACCACGAGTCTAATAGTACTGCAATACGGATATCTGAAGAACAGGCACAGGTATTAAATATGAGTGACATTCACTCTATTCCAACTATGATGCTAGGGGCTTCAAATGTCAGCATCACTCAACATTATCTGAGAATGCTATTCATGATGACTCTGAATATACTCAATTCATACTTGTTCTACCAAGATTTCAGTACAAAACTAATTTGCAACATTAATATCATATTCCCCCCTCCCCTTTCTTCCCTTAAAAAAGAACTGATAAAGTGAACCTCAGTTTGTAACACTATAGGTTGATTTTAATTTTTCTCAGCACCATCCATTGATGTACTTTGAAGCAACCGTGTTACAGCCATTGGCAGCAACTTTTGGAGCTGATATTCTTGTTTCATGTATGTTGAAATTATAGGGATTTAGGTACAAAGGGAGAAAAACGAATACTTAAATTGATAAAATTATATTCATATTGTTGTGAAGGATATAAGAGGGCGAGCTTAGAGTATTGGTCAAGCTGTTTCTTTGTGACCAAGAGGTCACAAATTCGAATCTAAGAAACAACCACTTTGTAAAAAATGTAAAGGTAAGGTTATGTACAAGGATTTCCATCACCCTTACCTTCTCAAGTTGGGTTTTCATGGAGAGTGGTCTTGTTGTGAAGGATGTGTTTAAGGATTTGACTCCAAATCCTAATTAAATAAGGAAATAAATCATGAAATATAAAGAAATAAGGAAACTATTTCTAAGAGATCATACGATACTCTAAACTTTCTGAGATACAATCAAGATATTCTAAGATATTTTAATATATTCTAACACTTTCTCTCAAGGTAAAGCTTACTAAGCTTTAAACATGTTACAAGTGACCCTTTAAAAAATAAAAATAAAAATAAATAAAACAATATAATCTAGCCTCCATAAAATATGGTTGGAAAGGAAACTTATGGATGCTGGAGATGTTGGAAGGATTAGCATTGCTAGAAAGGCAACTCAATAAGATGGCTGGAATGATCATCAGCCCGAAGAGCTGGTTGAAATGTTGTAGCCTCGAGGAAAATGATCATTAGCGAAAATGTTCTTGCAAGTTATTATACAAAGTAAGAACTAAAACTTATTCTCCAATTTCATCAAGAACAATATTTGGAAAATCCAAACCACAAGAAACCTTAGGGGACCAAAAGAATGGAAATTGAAATTGAGGATGATGTGCATCATAGCCATGGACAATATTTGGAAAATCGAAACCACAAGAAACCTTAGGAGACCAACACCTCTGGAAACTGCTTTATGACTTCCAAAGCCATGCTTTCAGGTTCCATGGAGGACACCTCATTCAACCCAACATACCCCAACTCCACGTAGTAATTCTCAACTCCCTTTTTAAAGGTTTTATTCAACCTCTTATAGGAAATGAGCCCCCTGGACAGAGTAGGATCTCCATGGATTTCGTCCATTCCTTCTCCTTGGGGTACCCGCAAAATTAAATCACGGAAATTGGGTCTTACTTCCCCAGGCCTTCCAACCAAACAAATCGCAGAATCACGTCCACTCCCTCCATTTTAAACAAGAAAAAATCCTGAGATACAGACATACCTAGGAGGTTCAATTGCACCCTTTTGCATGTTCCTTGACAGCGAACCTGATTCCCATCCCTGTCGTAACAGAAGGATTCTCATCAGCATTTACTTGAAGATTGAGTTCAACTACTATTTGAGTAGCCAAGAAATTGTGCGAGGCTCCCGTGTCGATTAGAACCGCAACCTTTCTCCCTTTAATCTCGCCCCACAATTTTAGAGAACAGTTGGAGGTGAAGCCAGTGATACTGTGGAAGCTTAGCTGAAAAGTCTCTCCTGCTTCAATGTCGTTCGCACTGGGCATAATCATCTCTCCCTCTTCAACGTCTCCCGTACCAGCCATCATGACATACAGTTGTGCTTGCGGGAACACATGGTCCGGTGAATAAGGGCCATCACACCGAAAACATAAATTTCGGCGATAGTCGACGGAATCGGGTCCTTCTGTTTCCGCCAACACCATTAGGGTTCCTTGCAATTCCAATCGCGTTCCCTCCACTCAAGGAAGTTGTGTCGTTTCGTTGAGGACACAGACCCAGCCTCACTTTGTTGGGCAATATTTTGATTGTTTGGGCCCAGCCTTGTTGGCCCACTTCGTGTTTCTGTAGTAGAGGAATTGGGCCTGTTGTCCAAAATCCCTCCACGGTTGGGAAGGGCTATTCGCTAATAATGAAGCCCATTCGTGGACCCATTACCCGCCCACCCGTTTGGAGCCCCACTCTTGCTGCGGATCATCTTATTTTTCTCTATGCATTGGTCCATTATCAACATCCTTCCAAGATCTCTCATATCGTGGAGTCTAATCTCTGCACAAATTTCCTCACGCAAGCCAGTCAGAAATGCCGCTTGCAACACGTCCTCTTCTGCATGCATGAGAGGAGCGGACAAAAGTTCAAAGTTCTCCCTGTATTCTACAATCGACCCTTGTTGATGGAGGAACATCAACGCTTCGTATGGATTGCCGGAAGATGAGGGATGTGATCGTTCCAGAATTGTCGAGCGAAAATCTCCCCAGTTGATGGTAGGAGTCCTGTTCCCACCATTGGAACCAATTGAGCGCCCTTCCCTGCAAACACACCTACGCTGTTTCTACTTGTTCGCCGACAGGAATCTGGTTGATATGAATGTATCGTTCCGCGCAGTAAAGCCACCCGTAAGGGTCCTCACCAGAAAAGTAAGGGACCTCCACCCTTCGCCTTCGTTCGTCTTCTCTTCCGTGCCCATTATTGACTGCCACACCATTGTTTTCATCGTCCCCTGTATTCCTTCCACCATTTCTTTGAGGAGTTCCTTCACCCTGATGGGTCATCCTTCCCAGAATCTTTGTGAGCACCGTATTCACTCGATTCATTGATGTTTCCAATCCCCCTATCCTCCCCAACACTCCTTCATTCAACCTCTCCATCACTACCAGCCTTTGTTCAATTTCATCAACTCTAGCCTCCATTCTTGATCAAACCATTCAGAGCACCCTCAGGATAGAGAATATCTTTGGTAGTACAGATGCACCGAAAACTCGGTGTATCTTCCACTCATATTGTGACATGTGTCCTATTTTTATATCAAATCACTCTCCCTCCTAATTTTAAAATAAATTATTTATTATTGATTTGACAAAAGTAAGACACGTGTCACAATATGAGTGGAAGATGCACCGAGTTTACGGTGCATCCGTAGCACCCAAGAAATTTCCCTCAGGATCAAGTGCTTTGATACCAATTGATGGTACTAGTAAATCAGAAAACATTGCAATTATATTTCGATATTGGGACAAGCCCTTGCTTATACCAATGCTACTCACAAGTCACAAGGTAAATGAAACAGTAACACATAATTTACATAAGCTCCAAACAGACTCGATGAGACACTTTAATGGAAAGAGACTAAACAATAAACCCAGCTATACTAAGACCAGAAGATAAAGCTATGACCTCCCTTAATGAAGAAGAGAATCCAACTCCTCATCAAGCTTCCCTACCTCACCAATATGCTTATTGTCTAACTGCCCTCCTCACTCCTAGCCCCTTTGATTATAACACACTCCACTCCCACTTTTCCATGCACAAATTCCTCTCCATTGAGAGCCTTCCACGAGTCACTTATCATAACAAACTCCCTTTCAACATACCCTTTATCAGCCTCTACCTGATTCACTATGGGCCTGTCACTTTAGGCCTTATTTTGTTTCTTCCTCTCTTTTTTACATTCATAGACCAACTTCAATGGTCCAACAGTGAGATAGGAGAAATTATGATCAATATGATTCACAATGGTAGACTAGTATAAATCATAACTACTTTAGTAATCCATCATTGTATGACTCATAGGTAAGAGAAAAGTCACCAGAATGATTGTCGGTGAGAAAAGAACATGAGTAGGGTGCCAAGCAAACAAGGCCAAAGCATTTGTGACAAAGACCAGGGGAAAAAACAAGTATGGAATTAAGGTCGGGGCTAAAACATGTCTGGAACAAAAACTTGCAATGCCGAACTGCATTTGTGACAAAGACAGAGATTAGTCATCTTCCATATTTCTCCCAATCAATGTTATTTTGGCATTGGAAAAGAGCTAATTAGGCTGATAACACTTCTGGATGAATTTTGTGCACAAGATGTGGAGTGTTGTTTTAGATGGATTTGTTATGCTTGAAGCCACTATTGGCTTAAAACAAAGGTTAGGTAAATCAGAAGACCAAAGACGAGAATGATACTGCAAGAACCAGAATAGAATGAGGTGTCAACGAAGATATTGACACCGTAGGCGTTCATCAAAGAATCTTCTTCGTGAAATAAAAAGAAATTAATTATATTTATATATTCTTATAATTTCTATGTCTAGGAAACTACTACAGGATCAACCGCCTTCCGAAAAGAGATGCTGCTATGTTGAAGAGACAATTATCACACTTGGAAACATATCTGGGCGGTATTAAATATATGATGGGGTTACCTGATATAGTAATAATTGTTGGTCAGCAAGAAGAATATAAGGAGACAGGTGAATGTAGGAAAGGCTTGAATAGTACTAGTTAAAAGGAGGATAGAAACAAACAGTTCTTATTGGAGGAGAAGAGGGCAAATCTAGCAATAGAACATTGAGATCAGTCTACTGACGCTGGTTGTAACCAAAATGATAGCTGGATGCACCCTCACTTGCCGGAAAATGGAACAACTTTCTGACGGGCTATGGTGGCATGTTGGAAATGGAAGTTCCTGTGACAGCAGTTGGTTGGATGAGTAGAGGTCATTGAAGATGATGGTTTACTTGGTGGAGTTAAAGCTTAGACAACAACAAATCTTCACTAGTAGTGGCACCTAGGAAAGACTATACAACTAGGTTGTGGAGGAAAGAGGAGGTCACAACTTGCTGTCTAGGAGTGGTGACAACGGTAGGGATGTCTAGATGAGCATCCACACCTAGTGGCAATGGTGGCGCATGAATTTGATGCGCAAAAAACAGGAACATGCTCTAGAGCGCATGGTATATTCTAAATTATTCTGGGTTACAATCAAGATATTATAAGATTTTTTTTATATATCCTAACACTATTTTGTTCATACGGTTTTAAGTTTTGAGATTGCGCAACCAATTATCTCATTTATTGTGACGATAGTATACCTATACTCACCAATATATATATATATATATATATATATATATATATATATATATATATATATTATTTTTCAAATGATTTTATTTAATTTGAAGCTAATGAATATAATAGTTTGAAAAATAACATGGATCATGAACTGTGTAAAACTTATGTCCATGAGGCTTTTTCTGTTTTTCCTCCCTATTTTCGCCCCTCTATTGGTGGAGATATTTTTAAGAATGGAAATGAGATATGTTTGGGTTTTGCTGTTTGGGAATGCGGATCTACAACCTCTAGCTGTTTGAGTTTAAGTCTTTAACTTCGAGGATAGTAACGAGCTACAAATTCAACTAGGATGCTTTCATCAATGGTTGTTTAATTGTCTGTCAAAGATTGAAATTTATTATCCTTCTGCTGAAAACTGCTAATTATCCATATTTGTTTGACAGGGGAAACTGATGATGCTAGTATAAAAGCTTTACGGTCACGACAAATGAAAAACTTTCATTTGGCATTAATGATATCTCAGGTACATATTTGAAATGCATTTTGCCTTGCTTTAATTGGTTGTTAGCATAAAATTGTTTTCGGAATCACAAGCTCAACTGTGTCTTTTCCATGTTGCATTTATCAAATTTTGGCTAATTTGTCTTTGTAGCATTTTTTTTTTGGGTTAAAATGCAAATAACCCCCTTAAAATTTGACCCTTTGGCAAATAACCCCGTGTGGTTTCAATATTGGCAATAAACGCGCTTAAACTTCCACATTTCAACATATGGCAAATAGCTTCTTTAAAAATAAAAATGCACTAGTATAGAAACTTAAATTGAAATACAGTTTCACAAAATTACAACAGTGATCGAGGAACGCAACTTGTTCAATCAAGTTCAACCAAAATACTTAATTGATCCAATTTCCACACTTTCTTTCACTTCTTAATGGATGGAAGTGGCTATTGGCCATATGTTGAAAGTTTAAGCAGGTTAATTGACAAATTTGAAACCACAAGAGGCTATATACTAAGGGTCAAAGTTGAAGGGCGATTATTTGCATTATGACCTATTTTTTATATAACTGTATATGCAATTTAGATGTTTATACTGTACAGCCTTTTCAATTAATTTTCCTTTTTAAAGAAAACTAGAAGATGCAGCTGCATGTTTTGATTTTGTTTGCTAATATGCTACCACTGAAAACAGAATAGTGATTTAAAATTTTGTAATGAATGACCAGGGCACACCAATGATGCTAATGGGGGATGAGTATGGCCATACTCGCTATGGAAATAACAATAGTTATGGGCATGATTCTGCTATTAATAATTTCCTGTGGGATCAGGCAAGTTTATAACATCCTTTTGACAGGTTCCTAGATACTATTTCCTAACGTTATAATCTTTTTGTTCAATAGTTGGATGCTCGGAAAAGTGGTCAGTTCAGGTTTTTCTCGGAGGTGATAAAATACCGGCATGTACATAAAGTATTCAGTCATGAAAGTTTTCTCAGCAAGGTAATATCCTTTGCTTCACGTTCTACTAAACTATATTGCAAATACACTGCCATTTTTCTTTTTCTTTTTTTAAAAAAAAACTGCCATATTTGCTTATAGAACCTTTTTTTTTTTCTTGCAGACTGACATAACATGGCATGAAGACAATTGGGACAATTATGACAGCAAATTTCTTGCATTTACGTAAGAATAAGGGCATATCTTTAATTGGGAATTGAGATAGAAAACTCATATTGCATTTTTAGTAGTGCTTTCACACAATGGAGCACCTAAAGACATCATCTTGGTCTTGGAATGTACTTTATACTTTATATATATATATATAATGCAGGTTTAATTTTTATTTTTTTTTGCTTCTTTGAATCATTTTAGTGGAATGTATATTGCTCACTATCACAGTTAACTGAGACTGACTTGACAGCACTTGCTTTCCTCTTGGTGCTTGTGTTTGCGCATGTGCATGCAGGCTTCATGACAAAAGTGGAGGAGATATCTATTTGGCATTTAATGCTCATGACTACTTTGTTAAAGTTCGGCTGCCCACGCCTCCAACAAAGAAGAGGTGGCTTCGAGTGGTAAGTTTTGCTTATTTTGGGACATATCCAAAAACACCTTCTTTTCACTGTTGCATGCATAATTACAATTCATGGAGCACTATTATGGCAGGGTTTAGCTTCATGGTAGAAATTAAAATTTAAGGAAATGAGATTAAGTGTTTTCTCGTTATTACCAATTTAAAGGGTCATGTTATTGCTTGTTGATTTAATATCCATTTATAAGAAATCAGAAGATAAGTGCCTCAAATCTGTGACATTTAGTCACTGGATAAGACCAATAAGAATTTACAAGATTATACCCACAGGGGGTTGAAGAGTGAAGACAATGGTAACTGGTAAGCGAACTGTTCTCCGAGAAGAGGATAAAGGTTTGGGCCCTGGAGATGCCATTTGTGAGTATGGTCTAACCATACCGCTCCATGTCCAAAGAGGATTTGTCTTAACACTCAAAGGGTGTGGGGATACCTTGAGAAACCAAACAAAAAATAAAAAGAAAGAATTTAAAATTTATATGCTGTGTTATGATCAGAGCATCTTGTTGGAAGTCTATGATTTTGACTTAATGAGAAGTTTGTGATCGTCTTTTTCTCAAAGCTTGCTCTGATTGGATTCCACGGCTGTCATTTTATATATTCTTCTGGTGAGAAATAAGATTTTAGGAGGAAGTACATTTGGCACTTCCATCAACTTTTTAAGGAGTGCCATTTGTTACAAAATGTTCCTTAAAATTTTCTCTATTCAGTCTAATTTGAATTCTGGATGCATATGCAGGTCGACACTAATCTGAAATCTCCCGATGACTTTGTCCTTGATGGTGTCCCTAGCATAGATAACATGTACAATATAGCTCCATACGCCTCCATTCTCCTTGAGGCGAAGTTCTGATTGCAGAAACTGTTGTATACACGTATCCAAAGAAAAGAAAAGAAAAAAGGCTGTTACATACACGTATCTCAGATGCAATGTTTATTATTTAGTTTTTACAAGGTAGCAGGAGGAAATATATGCTGCAATGGGTCCTTGGCTCAGTATGGTGTGAAGTTGTAGCTTAGCACTAGCAGTCGCATATATACAAAACAGAAGAGCTACGGGGCAAGGGGAACAAAAGCCGAAGAGGAAAATTTGAAATCATATCATTTCCAGAATGGAGCAGGGCAGAGTCAGGTTACAAGTTAATTGAGGCTGGTCTTACCAAGTATATGGATAATCAATTACTACTTCATATATGCATATATTGTAAAATTGAATTGAATTTAATAAATGTCATTGTCTATCTATCTATATGCTAGGTATTGTTATATTGTAGATTTGACTTGAATGGAATAAATGTCATTAATTTATTTCATTAGTAGCCTAAATTCCCTTCCATGGTTTTAAAGTATGTTCCGAACTCAACTTCTTTTTTTTATGAATAAAATTGAAGTTATTCTTAATAATTCTCTAAGTAGTTAAATCTCGAAAAATTCTTTGAGCAGTTCAGATTTTTTTTTTTTTTTTATGATTTCGAGTTATGAATAAAATTGGCACTCTCTAAACATAGCTTTTCTTTAATTTTTACCAATGATCGTTTGTAGTTAAAGTAAATTTGTTTAAAAAATAAAAATAAATTTGTTTCCACAGTCCAAATCTACATAATAGTAGAATGGATGGAAAGCAACGTGGGAGATAATGATGGATTAGTCCTGCTATCTCCGTGCCAAAGATTAGAAGAAATGAATTAAAACAATTAGAAAAAAAGCATGAAATTTTTGCCAATTATCTTTGTTATTAAATTATATATGTTGCATTTTTCTGGTTTCTGCTCTATTCATAGAGCTAGACATTCTTTATGTAATTTTTTTTTTGTTTTTCTTTCTGGGATTTTTGTCCAGTCACCAAAAAATAAAGAAATTATCAGAAAAATATTTCTGCACTTACTGCAGATAAGTTATCTGTATTTACTCCTAAAACAACATCGTTTTGAGATTGAAAAATTAAAAAATTATAATTATAAAGACTATAATAATCCTGAAATAAATTAAAATTACAAAAACACCATGATTTTCGCCCCAAAACAACATCGTATTGGACAGATAACTTATCTGCAGTAACGGCAAAAAAAGCGAACCCATAAATTATATATCATATTTGTATTTTAAAACAATTATTATAATGTTTAAATATTACTCATTATATTATAATGTTTCCCCGTCGTAATTTTGTCTGAGGTGTCATTTTAAATACAATTTTTTTAATATTTGTGGTGAGGTTAGAGATGACTGTTCTGAATAGATTTGTAGAATATCCAACTTCTCTAATCCGATGGAGACTATGTTGAAGGAATAAACCCGCATGTTTTTTATTATTATGTTTATGGTATATTCCTCCCACTAATATGTGCCCTTTTTTTCTAAGATGAAAGTTAATTTTATTTAGTTTTATATATTAAATAAAGCATATTTTCTAGAAAATGGTTTAGTCTTAGAGCTCGTTTGGATGAGCTTTTTTTCTTCAAAAGTTACTTTTTTTAAGAAAAAAAAGCACTTCTCGAAAAAAGTCTGTTTGGATGTCTGCTTTTAAAAAAAGCAGAAGTCATAAAAAAGTCAAAAATCTATTTTTTTCGGAAGTTAAAAATTTAACTTTTAAAAAAACAGAAGTTAAAAGCCAAATATTTTTTTAAAAATCTAAATAGCTATAACTTTTATAGAAAATACTTTTAAAATAAGGAAGTGATAAAAAAGACTTTCTTAAAAAGCTAATACAAATGAGCTCTTAGTTCACTTTTTAGAGAGTGACACACATTATTTTTAAAATAAATAAATAAATAAATTTTAAAATATCTTAAATTAATTATGTTTATTTATTTTTTTATAAATTTAAATAGTTTTATCCGTTTATATATATTTTCAAGATTATAACTGAATTAGTCTTAATATATAATTATATTTTATAATTTTAAATATTCTGTTAATTTAATTTTGAAAATTTTACACCAATTTGAAAATAATTGGCAATATATATGTATGTGTGTAATAATTGGAAACCCCTTAGGGTCTTCTCTAGGGGTGAAACTGGGCCGGGCCGGCCTATAGGGGCCTACGGCTCGGCCTACGTCAGGCCAGACCTGACCTAGTACATTTCGTAAAACAGGCTGAACTTGGGCTTTGAAAAAGCTTGTTTAATAAAAAGGCCGTTGGCTCACTTTCACAAGGTCTGGCCTATAAGCTTACAGGCTGACCTATATTGTACTATTTATTTCAAATAAAATAAAATATAATAAGTATGCCTTGAAGAAAAAACAAAAGATATAAATTTAATCAATTGCAATTATTTATAACTTAATTATATTCGATTATATTTTAATAGAAATTTGACTTTATTTCTTATATAGGAAGAATCAACATCTCAGTATATTAGATTGTGTATATGAATATATTATTAAAAGGTTTTTGGGAGAGGTTATACTTACTACAAGCATTATGATGTGTTTGTTGGATTCATGTAGTTATTTTAATTTACATAGTATGGATTTGTTTGTTGGATCTGATGAAATATTTGTTATTTAGTTTGAGCATTTTGCTTTTGAGAGTGACTTAAATGTAGATTGTATGAGTTTTGTTGTGATTCATGATTCTGTTTGGACGTTCAAATTATGATTTTTGGTTTAGCAACATAATTTGAGTATTGTGTAAAGTTGATTCATGGTTCTGCTTGGAAGTTAAAAATTAACAGGCTAACGGGCTGGGCCAGACCATTTGTTTTTTTATAAACGGGTCAAGACAGGCTAACAGTTAGACTCGTACTAGACTTGGACAAGGCCAAATTAAATTTTTTTAACATAAGCTAGGACTTTTAGGGGCAAAGCTTGACCCAGCCCAGCCCACTTTCCCCGCTAGTCTTCTCACATCAATAATTCGTCCTTTACCGCCTATACCGCCTATAGATAGTTTTAGACAAAAAAATAAAAATTGATATGTATACGTGAATGGTTAGCGTAACTCGTAATAATATATTTTTCATTTGAAGACTTAATTTACCGGTATAATATTTCTACGTACTTGCTGTTGCTAGTTTCAAATAAAAATAAAAATCCAAAAAATACAACAATAAATTGAGGTAATTCTTCTCTACAAGTACTAAAGTTGAAATTGTGTTTAAAATCAACTAAAATAACTTAATATGATTTGATTTATAAATTAAATCTTATATTTAAACTTATAAAACAATGAGATTAGAATTAATTTGAAAATAATTTTTATCTTAAAATTCATTAAAAATATAATTAATTTGATTTAATTTAATTTCTTTTCATTTTATGGAGCTCTCTAATATTAGGCCTTACCTTCTGTACATAGATTCTACTATAATTTTTCAGAAGAAAACTAAATCTTATTTTACATCTCAACTCAAGACCTTATGATCTTAAATTTATAAATTCTTTCATTTATAAATTCTTCACTTAACTCATTTCTTGCATAACTTTATCTCTCACATAAATTTCCAACTTAGACAATTACCAATCAGTATGAATATGAAATTTCATCACACTAAATCTACCACACAAACTATTCAAATACCAACTCTGCATGAATAGTTCTCAGCAAAACCGTAGCAGCAACATTTCAGATGGCATTGCCCACTGTTTGGCAGAATTCCTGTTCCGAATGTCCAAAGGGTAGCTTCTTAGCCTTCATAATTGTTTTGCAATTTCATATTCGCAGTAGAAGATATCCACATCTGTTGGGAACTCGGTTCCCTCAAGCTCGGCTCAGGGGCCTTTGTGCGGAAGTCAATCAACAAGATCCTGATCTCGGATCTCAGCAATACCTCGGCCAGAACTTCACCAGGTCAGGCAGCGCAACGGAAATATCAAAACGAAAAATCACAAAACATGAGAGAGAGAGAGAGAAGAAGAACACAACCAGATTTAATGTGGGAAAACCTTCTTCAATGAAGAAGTAAAAACCCACGGGACCTAGTCCAGATCAAAAATCTACTATGAAAATAATGGTTACAAAGAATCAAATACACCAATGTGGTAGTTAACTCAACCTCTCCAACAATGGTGATAATCAAATTACCCTAGAGATGTTTCACTCAAACTCTCTCTAGAGATCTCTCAAATGCAAAGCATAAAGCTTTGCTCAAACAATCAAATAATTTTTCTCTCAAATTTGTTCTTTCAATATCTGACCTAGCCTCCACCCACAACTAATGAGTATATATAGAGGAGGTGGAAATTAGGGTTAGGGTTTTTAGGAAACCCCTCAAATGGGCTTGGGCTTAGCATTGAAGGAGGAAGCCCAACAAATCTTCCCCTCCAACTTCAATGCGTCGGCTTCAGCATCAACCCGGCTCTTTCACAGCAGTCTTCAAATTTTCTTGCTGGAACCGGCTTTGTCATCATATCGGACCAATTTTGGTCAGTGTGCACCTTGACGAGTTCGAGCTCACCACCTTCCACCACATCCCGGATCCAGTGATACCTCACATCAATATGCTTAGTGCGGGAGTGATAGGTTGAATTCTTCGCAAGATGGATTGCGCTTTGATTGTCACAACCCAGCTCGTACTTGTCTTGATCATGGCCGAGTTCCATGAGGAACTTCTTCATCCACAGCATCTCTTTGCTTGCCTCAGTAGCGGCAATGTACTCAGCCTCAGTTGTCGATAGTGCAACACATTTCTGAAGTCTTGAATGCCAAGAGACAGCTCCTCCGGCAAATCTCATCAAATATCCTGTCGTCGATTTCCTCGAGTCGGCATCTCCCCCTAAATCAGAATCCGAGTAGCCTTGCAACTCGGCTTTACCTTCTCCAAATCGGAGACAAAAGTCTGTCGTACCTCGGAGGTACTTGAAGATCCACTTCACTGCTTCCCAGTGCTCTTTGCCGGGGTTTGACAAATACCGGCTTACCATTCCAACAGCACACGCCAAGTCGGGTCTAGTGCAAACCATTGCATACATCAAGCTTCCAACGGCGGATTGGTAAGGGACCTTCATCATCTCATCTTTATCTTCATCAGATCTCGGACATTGCTTCTGGTTCAGCTTTATGTGTCCGGCTAGGGGGGTGCTCACTGTTTTGGCTTTGTCCATGCTAAATCTCTTCAAAATCTTCTCAATATATTTCTCTTGACTCAGCCACAGTAGCTTCTTCTTTCTATCTCGGATGATCTTGATTCCGAGAATCTGCTTTGCAGGGCCGAGGTCCTTCATTGCAAAGGACGAGCTCAACGCCTTTTTCAGGGCGGCTATCCTCGATTTGTCTTTCCTTACAATAAGCATGTCGTCAACATATAACAACAAGATCAGAAAGTCTCATGCCTCATA